CATTATACAGAATGTAGAAGTAGTTGGCAAGATTAGATGCAGTGACCATAGAATGGTAAGAGCTCGTATACACCTCGATTTGAAAAAGCAAACACAAAAACTGGCACGCAAGAAGCCAATTAATGAACTGGTGGTGAGAGGAAAAATACAGGAATTCAGAGTTCTGCTTCAGAATCGATTCGAGGCACTAAATGAGATAACTGACGTTAGCGTTGCCACAATGAACGGTAATATTACTAGTACCATCAAAGAGTGTGCAATAGAAGTTGGAGGTTTAGTGACCAGATGGGAAACTGGCAAACTGTCTCAGGAGACAAAACAATCTTATTAAGAGACGACAAACGATAAAAGCCTCAAATGCAACCGACAAAATAGAGCTAGTGGAGCTTTCGAAGCTAATCAATAAGCGTAAAGTAGCCGACATCAAGAGGCATAACATGCAAAGAATTGAGCAGGCTGTAAAAAGCGGCAGAAGCCTAAAAGCTGCGAAGGCAGACTTAGGCATATTTGCTAAGATCGGATATATGCATTGAGAAACAAGGAAGGCAATGTCATAACCAATATGTATAGGATAGTCGAGATGGCGGAGGAGTTCTACAGAGAGCTGTACAGAAGTCAAAAGAACCAGGATTTTATTGGGAGAAACTATAGTCCAAGAGAGTTCGGCATTCTACCAGAAACGACAGGAGAAGTAAGAAAAGCCCTGGAAGAAATGCAAAGAGGCAAAGCCGCTGGTAAAGATAAAGTAATAACTGACCTCCTGAAAGATGGCGGAGAAATTGTGTTAGAAAAATTAGCCAGCCTATATACGAAGTGTCTCTTGACGGGAGTACCAGAATCTTGGAAGAACACTAACATCATCTTAGTCCATAAGAAAGGAGACGTGGACTTGAAAAATTACAAGCCGACCAGCTTACTCTCCGTTCTCTACAAACTATTCACAAAAATAATAGCTAATAGAATTAGGACGATATTAGAGTTCAATCAGCCAAATGTCCAAGCAGAATTTCGTACCGGCCACTCGAAAATAGACCATATTCATAATATCGATGAGGTAATAGAGAAATGCGCTGAATACAACCAACCCCTATACATAGCTTTTTATATTACGAGAAGGCCTTTGACTCAGTCGAGACATCAGCAGTAATGCAGGCACTACGGAATCAGGGCATGTATAACTGAATAAACATGAATAAACTGATCTCTTTCTAAGGGCATTTCGTTTTGAATTACTCAGCATCAGTGATGGAAGTTACTTTATACTTTTTGGAGAATACTTTGTAGCAGAAAAAGTAAAACTTTGGAGCAGTCATAAGTGTTTTCGGAGCAGAAAAAAAAAAGTGCTAGTTTAGAGCACGTATTGGTGCTTAAGGAGCAGATACTAAGTTTGCCATACAATAATTAGAGTTCAGAGCATTGTCAAAGCATCTCGTAAATATTAATATTTGTGCTGTAAACAGGCCCGTGTGCTCAGATTTGGGTGCACGTTAAAGAAAGGTGGCTGAAAGAAAGGTGGCCGAAAAGGAGTCCTCCACTACGGCGTCTCTCGTAATCATATATGGTGGTCTTGGAACGTTAAGCTCCACATATCAATTCATTAAAAATTATTATTTGTTATGAAATATATTTAACAGCCAACAATCAATGTAAATTTCATGAAGCAAACAATGGCAGGTTGTCAAAAATGGGCTGTGAAATGAGCTATAATATAAATACTAGTATTTGTGGCAGAAATCAAATCAACCAGAATAGCTGAGTTCCACATTTTAGAAGTAACGACAGTTACATATAACTGTTGCCAAATAAGCAGTAGATAATTTGTACTAGATAAAAACAAACCTGCTAATTTTCACATTTCACCCCCCCTAGCCTACACGTCTAGTTGATAAAAAAATATCCAAATGAAATATATTCTTATCATACCAGTTCTTGTTGCATAAATGCGATCAGAGCCAATAATGCTGCACACTAGTGGCACACTGGAATGATAGTACGCACATTTTTCTCACTTTTTTGTAGGGATTGTGAGTCAATCAAACAGTAAACGTTCGTCAATTTTATTCTCTGAGAGTCATTTCGGAGCAGGTTTAAAGCAGTCACTAACAAAAAATTACTGTTTAGAGTAGCATGGAGAAGCATTTCTTTTTTGGAGCAGTTTGGAGCAATAGGAGCAGCACTTCCATCACTTGGAGCATGCGCTGCGGCCAAGGCTACGGCTGTTCTCAGAGGGAGCAGTTACGGTGGGGCCAGGGGGGGGGGGGGTGCTCCTTTGGCCCTTACAAGGCCGCGTACCTTAGCCACTTTCATTGGTGGCTTCATTTAGTTGTTACGTGAGGTTCCATTTCGTCACCACAACAATGAAAAATATATTTCCCGGCTTTGGCGCCTGCGGAATCCCGGCTGCTGCGGCTGCATTTCCGATGAAGGCGGAAATGTTGTTGTCCCGTGTGCTCCGATGCGGGTGCACGTTAAAGAACCCAAGGTGGTCGAAATTTCCGGAGCCCCTCAATTACGGCACCTCTCATAATCATATGGTGGTTTTGCGACGTTAAACCCTACTTATCAATCAATCAATCTTTCCCCCTTACACTCTCTCAGCAATCACTTGATGGCGTCGGGGAAAGAGATTCTGCAGACACGCGATGAACCCACGTGCTCCCACTTGACGTGGTGATGAACCCGCATGGCGTGCTGCTACAAAGGTTCATTGGGACGAGTAACAACAACAGAAACTACATGGTGTGCGCCCCTTGCAAGGACGCGTTAACATCGGGCAAGGTTCCCGTGGTGAAGGGAACTTTAAGGCGACCCATGCGCTGCTTTGCATGCTACTCATGGTTCGCTTTAGTGGAAGGTGGTGTAATTTTTTTTCATAATCATCCCCACTACGGCGGGTAAAACGCGGCCGGTGAAAGTAAATGGGCCATAACGTGAACAACCATAATGTGAAAACATAACTTGCCGTGGGCGGATCCTGGTCATGGCAAGTTATCTTTTCACCCACTTTTGTTTCTTCTCATTGACATTACAATTGGCCTAATAACTTCCCCTATACTTTCTTTGGCTTTATTGTCTGTTAGATGTCACTAACATATTGTGTAAACACGCAAAACGAGCCCTTAAGTAAACACTTCTTTCCTTATATATATATATATTATATAACATTTGATGAAATAAATTAATATTTAAAACACAAGTGCGCCCCACATACACCGATTTAGCTCCCCAAGAGACAGTAATTTTAAATACCGTGCGAATAAGGTGAGCCTCGTGTAGGCGGCGTGTGGGCAGTTATATAAGCATCGCCGATGCCATTCGTGCAACCAAGAACGTGGAACGTTGCATGTCTTAGCGCAGACTTAAAAGCAAATAAATAAGCAACCTGGTACAGTACATACTAACACCACGACCTTCTCGTCAAAGCTGCGTGAGGCTCTGCGGTAGTTCCGCCCTCGATGACCAAACATGGGTGACCCAGCAAGCCTATGAGGCGGGGTCGAGGCAAGCTCTTCTTGACATCCCCTCATGAGAGGCCCGACCACCTAAACTTGCTGGCTTCTTTTCATTATTAAAGTTGATTCCTCATCCTCTTCGTAATTCTACTGCATATGTAGTGTAATAATGCCTGCTTTAAGCAGAACGACACTCTTCAAAACTTGTTTACGCGCAACGGAAGACGGGACACAATAAACAACTTGACGTATTTTTTTGCGCATACTATGTAGTCCGCTCATAAAATTTGCTACAGAACAGCCCTCCTTATACATGGCAACGCCCTTGAAAGGGCGTAAGTATGATGTGTATGTTCCGTCCATCATTATTATCACTCTGTTCCTATCCCGTCCTTTTACCCACGGTGCAGAAAAAGAGGGCAGAGCGTACTAGCTTATGCTTACCTCTCTACTGTCCTCGAATAAACCCTTCATTTCTTTTGTTGGATAAGTGTCGAGGGGTGTGAACAAAGGTGATATTAATTCTAAGAATGTGAATGGTTTGGCAGAGCGACGCACACTTTAAAAACAGCCATCTATTGTTCAGCGCCCGCTCGAGAAATACAAGAACTTAAGGCGATCGCACTCAGTGTACACGAAATACAAAGCGTAACAAAAGCTTTTGACAGCAACGAAAATACTTATCGCAAATTAAGAAAGCTAGAAGAACGAAGGGCATTACGATTAAGCAGTTTTGTTTTTAGATTCTAAAATTTTACTGGCTTTTTTACGTTATGTATGTTTCTGGAAAATCATCCGCAGGCTCTTATAAACAATACGCCATAGTTTCGAGTAGGGAATCATGTGCGCTAAGTAAGAATATTCCTTCAAACATAGAGCGACACATGCTAAGAACCAAGCTGCAAAGCATACACAGACAGGAAAAGAAAATGAAGCATTTAATTGCCGTTCCGAACAGCGCGTGTTTGCTCCCTTCGTGTAGTTTTGGTGAAGTGCTGACTGTTGAAGGTCCCGAAGGCAAACTGGCGAGTGCATGGGGGCACCCGCGCACTGACATGGCATCAAACGAAATTAGATATATAACGAAATCAGTACCCCAGAAGGGTCACCCTAATCGCCGACACATCCCTGAGCTCCGTCAGCACACCTTGGCGAATAACGGTTTACACACTTCTGGCGATGGTCGAGGTACGACGCTACATAATTCGACCCATTTGACTGTGAGTGGCATGGAGTAGTAGAAATGAAGTCACGCAGCTCAAGTTGCATAAGCACAGAAGACACGTGGCTGACTTCAGCCACCACGTGACTCCAGTGTACACGCAGCTAGCACTATTCATAGGATGAAATCAAGAGTTCGCTACAGCACTCCATGACACACAGTTATACCGCACAGTGCCAATTCCTGCAAATTCTCGAATGTAAAGCACGCGCTGTCGAAGTGGAAGAGCGGTCACCTTTCCCCCTCCCCCTGTGCGGCGCTTCCGCATCCTTCGTGCAGGCACGCGCGGGGCCGGGTGTCAGGATCGGCGCCGAAACCGGACTCACCAGCAGGCGGCCGGCGGCGCCCATAGCGGTGACGATGTCCAGGCGAGACTAGTCCCCTTGCTACCGGGCCTCGAAGCGCGTTCTGTCGGCCGCCGCCTCTAGCGAGGCGAGGCCAGTTTGTGGCATTTATACGCGGCCAACACCCAGGCAGTTCTCCTTGGATCAGTGAACTTATCACACGCGCGCCAGCGTTGGCGGTTACGGCGAGGCGCGAGAAAGGGGGAAATTCGCCTGGCTGACAAGATCCTGCATAGCTAATGAACGCGCGCAGACAAAGGGGAGCACAGCCAACCGGGGCATCTTCGCCGCTGCCAAGCAGTACGTGCATAGAGAACGGATTTACAGCCACAATTGTACACACGCCACGCGCACCCGCATATATCCACTGGTGTTCGTATTAGTGAAGGCGCCGTGTATACAAGCGCGCATCTTAGCGAAACGCACACGCGCTGGCAAATGTGACCGAGTTCGAGATTGAAAGTGCCGCAGCGTGCGGCGCGGCGTACAGCCTCGCAGGCCGAAGGAACGAAGGTGCTCGAACGAGGCGGCGGCAAGAAAAAAGCGAACTTTTCTGGGTTCGAGCTGCAGCATGATTATGAGGAGTGCTTGTACTATTATTGGAGCATGTTCGTATTAGTCTGGTACCATCGAGGTACGTCACGCGTCCCGTCCGTGACCACAGATCTTTCAGTTCAAACTTGCGTGTGCAGCGACACGGCGCAGAATCCATCAGCCTGGCACACGTACTTGGACAGACGCCTTGAAAAGTAAGGAAGGCCGAGATAAGTGCAGCTATCTGTGTGTTGCACCTAACATGTACTAAAGGCAAGAAAAAAAAAACAAAAAAACTACGAATTTTTTTTATTTCAAGCTCTGAAAAAATCCTGCATGTATATAATAGTAAAAAGGTGCCTCCAAAACAAATTCACTAGACCTTTTACGGTAAAACCCACCCTAAAACAAACAAACAAAAAACACAGTCACAGCAAAAGCTAGAAGTTTCTTCAGATTAGCCTAGAAGTATTAGTCTTTCAGAGCCTTTTCTAAACTTTCTTTTGGTAAATGCTACAAGAACACTGCTGGGTATCCACTACGCCATAAATATTCATAATTTTTTGTGTATTAGGCCAGCATTCACTGGTTCAGAAATGAATACAAACTGTAAGCGTCTAAGTGATGAAGTATAAATTTTTAAATATGCTTTAATGGTAAGCATGCGGAATTTATAAGCAGGTATGGGGATTCGGGCTTCTTGATATAGCACACTGTTCGCTGTAAATTTCGGAACCTCCAGACAACCTCGAAGGGCCTCTCATTGTAAGATAACAAGGGAATTAGTCATATATATATATATATATATATATATATATATATATATATATATATATATATATATATATATATATATATATATATATATATATATATATATATATATATATAAGACTAATTCCCTTGTTATCTTACAATGAGAGGCCCATATATATATATATATATATATATATATATATATATATATATATATATATATATATATATGACTAATTCCCTTCTTATCTTACAATGAGAGGCCCTTCGAGGTTGTCTGGGGGTTCCGAAATTTACAGCGAACAGTGTGCTATATCAAGAAGCCCGAATCCCCATTCTTGCTTATAAATTCTGCATGCTTACCATTAAAGCATATTTAAAAATTTATACTTCATCACTTAGACGCTTACAGTTTGTATTCGTTTCTGAACCGAGAACATTTTTCTAATGAGCCTCGGTCTAGAATACATAGACCTCAAACTTTATTTGTTAATGAGTAGCTATACCTTTAAACGTTAACATATGCAGCATTGTTTCTAATAACTGATTGGCAAAAACCAAAACTGAATTTGATGATATATTCCCTTCTAATGCCAAACTTCTACCTACCAGATATCTAAAAGATTTATTAGAAGACCACGTATGTATTACAATTGGGAATTGTTAATGTTATTTCTACGGATGCATCCATGTGTGAAGAGAAAGCGGGCGTAGGCATCTTCTCAGAGACATTGCCTTGGTAATTCTCAGTAGGTCTCCCAGATTACACTCGTATATTTGAAGCAGAGCTTTTAGCAATTATTTTGGCCCTAAGAAAACTTTCAATCAATAATTTGGCAGTTGTTATTGTTACTGATTCTCTTTCCGTATGTAGATCCATATTTTATTTAACCCAAAATACTTAGGTACAGTGCGGTTGGTATGGGTACCAGGTAACCGAGGCATATTTATAAATGAAATAGCTGATACTCTCGCGCGCTGATCTCTACATAGTCCTGTAATGTCCACTGTACTTGATAGCAGCTTTGTCACTGAATACCGATTTCGTAAATATTCCCTACTTCAGGATTCCATGAAATTTAGATCACCAGTTTAAGAATACGGTCATCTTTCTTTTAGTTGGAATAACAAATAATGCCCCTCTTGAAAATTGTAAGTGTGCATTACAACATTTCGGTGCCGTATTCCGCCTCTAAATTTCTATTCATTCAGGTCTGGTCAGGTGCCGTCTCCCCTTTGCTTTTACTGTCAAGAGCCAGAAAACAGCGATAATTTTTTACTTATTTGCTGACGTTTCACAAGCCACAGGAAGAAACATTTAGAAACTATATTCAGAAAACTAAACATTACTTTTAACTCTGAAAATATCCTTTCCCTTGGGGCTTCCTCTCTGGGCCACACTGTGTAACACTTTGTAAATTTCTCAGACACACAAGAAAGTCTGCTTGTTAAATTTTCTTTTTTTTAAGTAATGAAATTCCAGTTCTTTGTAATTACCATGCATTTATTTATTTCAATAATTAGTTATTTAAATACTTTATTTGTATGTCACCTTATGATTATCTACTCTTATATTCCTTAGATGAGTGACTAATCATTTTTCTTCACCAAAATTGGTTTTTCCACATTATAATAACCGCCAGTTTAATAGGCAATTCCCCATAGTGGGCACGAGCCAAAGCATATAGGAACAGGCAAGCAAGCAAGCATTGAATGATCCTCTCTTTACGCAATTTGCATTGTCTGACCCCTGGTTGTTCTTGTGATGTTCTAAAACGCTTTATTACTCATATTAGCACAATTCCTTTCCCGACATCAAGCCTGCCTAAGGTCAGTTTTGAAATGAGTTTCAAGCGCCAACATGGCTCAGTGGTAGAATACTGGGACACTAGGACACATGGTGAGGTGTGACACATGGTGAGGTGTGACGACGGTGATGTGTGCGGCAGGGCTGGGGAATCTCATGGCGGAGTTAATGGTGCTGACAGCACTGCCCGCCAAGAAGTGCCAGCGCAGATGGAGCGGTGTATCTGCTCGGTGGACTGTCAATCTCAGAAATGGGCAATCCAGTGGCTCGAGGGGACCCTGGCCAGGCAGAGGAGAACGGGAACTCGTGACCTGCAAGCGCGGAGCGCGGGAACTCAAGTATCCTCTGTCCGGTCAGGTTCAACCCTCGAGTTCTTGGCCCAGTGTTTCTAGGACTGCATAGACTAGAACATTAGAAGGGTAGACCGCGCCCTGCGAGGCTGGCACCTACCCAACGCAGGATCCTGTGAATAAAGTTTTTTCTCTCTCTCTAGAATGAACACTGGGCTTGCAGACAGCGAACTCGGGTTCAAATCCCATTAAGTCCTTGGTGTTTTTTTATTTCTTGTGATATTCGTTACAGACCCCGGCGGTGGACAGCTACAGTTTTACATGTGACCTGTGTTTCGATATCATAACAGTTTTTGCTTTAAAAAATATGACAAGCTAATTTCCCAGATATACTTTAGAGAACAATTAGTGTGGAGAATAATAAGGCTACCCATAATGCTGGTGTATGTGCACACACACGGGCCACAAGGAATTACATTTTAATAATAAACGCATGCTGCAGAAAACTTAATTATGATTAATGGACAAGATGTAACTTCGTCCTCTATCAGTTTAGGAAGTGAGCTTAGTTGGTAGCATAAGATATTGAAACATGGTGTTGTTACACCACCTATGCTTTGTTAGCTCTGGATGTTAATGCGGGACAGACACTGGTCGGGTTTTCTGCTTCCCTCAGTCTCACTCCTGCAGAGTTTCTCACTGCACTGTTGCCAAACTTCATTAGAATCTCCCTCCCATATTTTCTTATTACAAGCAGTTCACCTATCGAACCATGCCATTCTTATTGTTTTCACTCCTCCCAAACAACTATCAATAGGCTTCAACATGTGCAGGATATCGATCTCTCATCATGCTTTTAATATGGTCACGAGCATGGAATGATCACTCTGGCACGGGTGCTAAAATGTTACCGAATGGTCGAAGACGACAATGTTGTGGGGCTGAGTCTAGAGCTGCCCTATGGACCACATTCCTGTGTGCTGTGTGCAGTGCTAGCTCAACCAATGCTAACTGAATAAATACTCCCCCGTAAGTACACATACACTAAAATTCAAAGAATTATCTAGGCAAATTTAAGCGCTTTACAGGAGGGTGTCTGTGCCATGCATGTTTCATTAAAGCACACAGAGCAGCCCTACAATGCACTGGAGTGAGAGTAGTGATGCCTCTGAAAGAATATATTTCCACGCAAAATTTTTCCTTTTTTTTCTTGCTACAGCACAGGCTTACAAAAGCACCTGGGTGACATAAGATTGGCAACAGCATTAGGAGGACACATTCAGTTATGCTCCCCCATTTTCTAAAGGATTGAAGAGATTTACATGAGTATACACAATGCTTTGCTATTTCCTAAAAACTATGGCCATGATCAGTGCCTAACTTCTCACATATAAGGGCTGTCACACACGTTCATGACAGTGTGGGTGCACCATTATAAGGGGAGCCTTGAAAGCCTCTACAGAGCATTATTTTTAATGCAAGATTGTGGGCTCCCTGTAGCATGCAGGAGTGTTTATTTTCGTTGTACGCTCATGGAAGCATTGTCCATAGATTGCAAGTTTTCTTACAGTGTTCAGAAAGTGTTGCAGCAACCTTTTCAAAATCTGAATAATATCAACTAAACCATCGTTATACTTTCATTGGCTTTTTGCGTGCTGTTAAAACTTTCCTAATTATCAGCAGAGTGAAAATGAAGTCATGCTTTCATCATCAAAGGTGGCAGTATGTATTGCATTTCCCAAGGTTGAATAAGCTATGTCACGACTCATCTCCTACTTTGTTCTTGAATTTGGAACATATGTAGTGCAGTTGTTGCTGCTGCCTCTAATATGACTCACACTCACCCATGGGAATTGGCCAAGAGTTGATTATATGACTTCGTAGACATTTCGATGATTGGATTTTGATGACCAACCAAACAACAGACGTAAATCAAAAAGAGTGCAACTTGCAGTGCCTCCTTTTTCTATATGACAAATACTGAAAATGCAATGCCATTACTCAACATCCCTCCAATCCTTTTTTTTTTTCCACGAAGCTCTGGTTTGTCAAATTTATTAGTGGAGTTAAGCTTAAGCTTCACACTGCAAGAGTAAAGTGCTTAAAAGTTTGGCTGTTCTGGTAGTGTTTAGACATGAATTATCCCTATTGGTCAAGGCGTTTCCACATGGGGACATTAAAAAAAATAATTTAGCTAGTAACAATAGAAAAAAAAAACATTAAACATAACCTTCCATTCATAGAAAACACCCTGCCACGGTGGTCAAGTGGCCATCGATATACTGCCACACGGCAAAGTGAGCCGGCATATATACATGTGCCACCAAAGATTCCGGGTTTTCAGTAGCGGCCACATAAGTTCCAGAACAACTTGTCATGTACGCGTTGTGTGCGCATTTAACCCGCGACCTGCTGACCCGCAGGTCGCGGGTTCCAATCCCGGCTGTGGCAACTGCATTTCCGATGGAGGCGGGAATGTTGTAGGCCCGTGTACTCAGATTTGGGTGCACGTTAAAGAACCCCAGGTGGTCGAAACTTCCGGAGCCCTCCACTATGGCGTCTTTCATAATTATCTAGTGGTTTGGGACGTTAAACCCCCCAAATCAATAAATTAATAGAAAATAGCTGTATAAGCCACTATAGTAGAGCAATTAAAAATGGGCATAATTACAAAGACTTTAAAGTGCACTACCATCTTTGATTTGCTCTGTATTACTGAACTTTGTGTTATTCTGTGCATTGCAAAGCTGCCAAATTAGTAACAATCAGCACAAAATGAACATATTACTTTCAACTTATAGCGCACCACCTAGCAGAAGTATATAATCTGTAAAAAATTTTTGCAACTACACAAACTCAGGGGTGGAAGCAGGCTTCAGTCCTTTAGAGCAACTATAATGGGGTTTTGTAGCAGCTTTGAAGCAGTAAAAAGGAAGTTTTGGATCAGGTCTCGAGCAGCAAAAAGGTGTGTTTTGGAGCGTTGAAATTTAGTTTTGGAGCCATTTCTCGGGCCACACATTCCTGTTAATTAGAATTTTCGCTTTCTGGTATGCGCAAATTTTCAGTGGTTTTTACTAAGCATGCAATGCTGATCAAGCAACCAGATTTAACTGAAATTCATATATATTAGGCCTTACAACATCAAAGGTGCAAGGGGAGCAACTCAAAGAAAAAACATAAGCGGCTCTCTGGACAGCTACTAGACCACAGATGAATAAAAAAAACTTGATGTTAAAATGTTGCAATGTTCAAAATGTGATTGAAATACTACATCCAACATGAACAGCAACTCAAGACTAGAGATGAGCTAATATAATAAAAGTTATCTTCATACTAAACCCATGGGGCCCTATAAAAATAAATGTAAAAAACTTTCTTCCGGTCATTGAAGTGCCACAGTTGACATGAGAACCACGACGAAACTTAGATGTGCTAGCTGCACCATTGCTAGACAATTAAGTGAAAAAAATGTTATTACGATAGGAGCTATATGGACAAAAGACGGGTTTTTGCCGTCGCCGCCATGTTGCACGTAAACTACAAGTAGGTACCATTCTCCGCTCATCGAACGTTTTACCCATGGGTGAAATTGCGCAAGCTGAAGTGATGAGCGCTGCTCAAGCAGAGATTAAACGAGACAGCCAATCTCAGTCGCTCGGAGGGCACATGTGTTAGCATCCCACTGCGGGTTAAAACTGCCATCGAATGCTCAAGCAGAGAGCAAACATGCGGCCGTCTTGAAAAAAAAGGGGAGCTCGCTTGAGAAGCAGCTGTGAACGTTGATTCTCTTCTAATCAAGAGCGTTGTTGCGACAGCTGGCACGCACGATATTGGCAAGCATGAGCACACGGCTCGTAAACCATTCTACGTGTTGCGCTTTCAACAGAAAGAGATTGTGCGTAAGAACATTTTTCCTTAGAGCGAACGTACTTGTTCTCTTACACAAGCATTCTGTAGCTGTGAGTATCACGATGCTGGATGCATAAGAGTTGGCGACCAGCCTTCGTATTGTCACAGGGTTCTTGATGTCGACGAAGGCAGCAGCCATTGTTTTCATGAGTGAACTATTTATTTGGGCTAACCTGTGTCCAGAAAATGAAACGTCACTGTACAAAAAATACACGCTGTAGACAGATACAAGCGAACATAGAGCCTTGGCCGTCGATATACTGCCACACGGCAAAGTGAGCCGGCATATATACATGTGCCACCAATCCGGCGTTTTCAGTAGCGGCCACATAAGTTCCAGAACAACTTGTAATGTACGCCTTGTGCGCGCAATCTAACCGGAAGGTTCTAAGATTATCTAGATGGTCTTCACTCATTCGGGCGCTTTGCACAAGGCAGCATTGCACATGCGCCATTACCAGAAAGGAGCACTTTACCATTACCAGAAAGGAGCACATGCGCCATTACCATTTTACCTTCATTTTAGGGACATTTGGCTACTTTCCACGATATCACGAAGCATTATCAATTAGGTCGTAGGTCCTTTCCATTGCCACACGAAAAGTTGTCTAGGCCACAGGCAATCTCATTTCGCATGCTTCAGACAGGAACATACCCTAGCCTCGTAACCTATAGCCATTAAGTTGATATTTCAGAACTTTGTCCGGACTGTCACAATCGCAGTGATGTAAACCATATGCTCTGGAGGTGCCCCTCTTTACAAGGAAAAAATGAAGAATTTTCCGAAAATTCTTTTCATTTAATGCTCATGAGTCCGGTTCTCATACAACTCAAGGCTGTCCAGAACGCCCACGATGCGGTGCTCCTTACGTGGGAGCGCCCCTCGATCTTACTCCTATAAAACGAGGGTGGAATCCTTCAGGACCCCGATAAATTTTTCATTCATCCATGCCAAAAAACTCGTCCCACCGTTGCCGAGCAACGGCCGAGCGCCTGCCGTGCTTGGCAGTTGCTAGGCAATGGTACGGCGAATTTTTCGCAACACGACTGCTGTCTTTATAGTTTGCCTAACAGCTTTGCTGGTAAAACATATATAGAATCGCATCTAAGGTATGCACACAAATGCAACCTTCACATGATTAATGCATTCTGTTCACAACGTGGCCGAACTAATCTGACAGGGACGCGGTTGCGTCCTTTGTTGAGTCGATGATAAAACTCGACTGAACTTGGCGTTGCACGCACAAATCGCCGTTTATGTGCAGCATGTCCGATTGGCGCAGAACTTTTACATTCGTCACACGCGTCACTATTTGTTTTTGGGGGGGTAACCTCAGGATCACTAAGATTAAGATAAATGAATTTGGAGGCCATCATTACATGCAACAGAAATAGTTATCAAGAGAATACTCCAAATTCATTATTTTACATTACATACTATTTCTCTTTACTCTTATTTGCTGTGAAGGAACTTTGCAAGGTGCCATAGCACTAGTGAAAGAAATCCTACAAATGCCACATTTTTCTTCTTCAATTAACAACTTTTGCATTTGAAATAAAGCAAAATTTTATTGCAGTATTCTTTAGGTAGTACAAGCAAGGCTGCACAATATTTTGAAAGTTTAACATCCAAATAATTTTCAAAGGTCTGCACAAGCGAATTCCTTGCCAAAAAACTTGAGACATCTTCAAGGGAAAGGCTCACCCCCAGACACTGACTAAAAGAAAAAAAACTTCAATACAGACATTTTGTTCTGTAGTTAAGAGGGGACGAGGGTCATAAAAAATGTTTTTTATTTATCATTTTATTATCATAAGAATTACTATGAATGTGTACCATTGAATGGAGATTTCAAATCTGCAAACAGATTTCCAATATCTCATTTAGAAAAAGAAATAATTACAAATTTGCACACTAAAATGAGACGATTTCTTACGAATCATTATGATAACTCGCAATAAAAAAGCTAGTTTTTCGAAACTACATGTTTTCTCTAACAGGTTCATCCCACAGGCTAGATGTCATCCCACAAACTAGATGTCAAAATGGATATTTCTTTCATCAGAAATAATTTTTAGACTTGACAGGTAAAAATGAGCTTCCAGTAATTAGCTGGTATGTATCATACAACTACAATTCTATTAAGGTTAGAGAAAAAGAAAAGCTTTAGCCTGTAGTTAAAATGCTGTGGAAAAAAATGGTACCAAGTTTGTTTAGATATCTTTAGAGAAACTTGCTAAAAACTTCCACAAGGCAGACTCACTTCACAAAAATAACAATCCCAAAAAAATTAGGTCTCCAGTTTTAAAAACATTTGTACTTTCCTATATTAAGCTTTTAACAAAAAGAAATGGTACTTTGCCATAATATAAAAGTTTTCCAAAACATACTTATGAATATAAATACCTCATATTGTAATTTTTGAAAGTCAGCATTTTTTTTACAGTGTTCTGCTATTTTAAGACCCTCGTCCCCCCCTTAGGTGTCTGCGAGTCTGCCTTTTCCTTTAAGATGAACACAAAGCAAGTAGGCCAAATGTCAGTTTAGTTACAGTGACCTTTGTGATAGTAAGCTTAGCACAACTCAAGAACCACACGTAAAAACATGTTTGATGACTTTGAAGGCATGTTTATCAGGTCAATTTGCACAGTGAAAATGGTCACTGTGCAAGAAAATTTATTACACCAAAAAAAAATGAAGGAAACAAAGGACTAGCATTATGTACAGATAAAAAAAATCACATTCTTTGGGTAATGTGCAGCAACTCCTACACAGCAGAAGCACTTGTGCCAGCCAGTGCACTAACTGCAAAAAAAAAACATAGAAAAGAAGCCAAAAGTATATAGGAGTAGCAAGCTTTGGAGTAAGCACACTGCAGGAAAGGTTGATGTTTCTTTGTTGGGAGAGGGTATAGCAGAAATAAATGAATTTTTACTGTTCCTGTTTACACTCCCTTAAAAGGCACAATTGCATGAAAGTCTACCATTGTGATACCGTACCGTGCAGAGTGGTAACGCAAGCGTTCATTCTGGCAAAAACCACATTTGAGTACTGCCATGATAATTTTAAGCCGCAATAGTGATGCAATTCCAGGAATGACCAAACTTCAATGGAGAGGTAGTAACCTTATCACTGATATCACCACTAGAAAGCGCTTGGAAAGTGCTGACAACAACAATGCATTCAGTGCAGAAGATATGTCATGGCTGTAAAAGTTTCCGTGGAACAGCAAGTTCCACAAATTGCATTACGCTACTTGACAAATGGCAGTACATGGAGGGTAGACATGCGAATTCGCTCACTATGGGAGCATACACAGAAACACCACAATAGTTCTGCACCACAATGCCACACCTTCCCTTCTGATTTGTATGCAAAATGAATGCCTCTCCAGACTAGACAATAACATTCCAACACCGATGTGGAAAAAAAAAGAGTAAAAGAGGACCTCAAATACAAGTGCTCCATTTTTACATACTTATATAAGTTTCAGTCGAAGCATCTTTAATGGAGAAACAACAAATGCTATACAGTTATCACATAGACTTTGCACACCTACTGGCTACAGCAAGTCCTCCCTTCAATGGGAACTAAACAATGTTGCTTCATTAAATTGATTTTCTTGGTGGTGCGAAATTTCTCAATGCCCCACTAATCCCAGCTAAAGCACTTGCTCCACCAGCATGGTGACAAATAACAAGCAATGGCACTGGCTCTGTTTTGTGAAAAAAAGTAATGTGCACCTGCGTCAACAGCTGCCTTTAAAATCTAGCATCTCTGCTGGAGCTGCATGTCATACTATATATAAGCTTTGGACAAACCTGGGTGTGTACTAGTAAACAATGTGCGCTGACACTTGCTGAACTATCACACCCTTTTAAAAGGCAACAGTGTAAACCTTCAACTTGCAGGACGTGGTATGTCAAAAGCAGATAGCAATTAAAAAAAAAAACTCCATCACTTTGTATGAAAAGTAGACAGTAAATGGCATCTTTGTGCAACTGCTTTGATCACACCTTACACTTTTGTCCTCACCTCAGTCATTCCTCATATATACAAGACTGTATATTACAATGCCCTAAATAAGCTGTACATTTGTAAGCAGCTTAGCAGAGGTGTAAAGCCTTTGTTGACAATGTCATCTCTTGGAGATGAACAAATGTGATGTCTGCTAAGCCAGCAGCATAGTCGCATGCTTTAAAAGATGATGTGCCTGCTTTTGAACTGACATTGTACTAATTGTGGCTATCCAACACATGGCACACAGGCTACATGTGTTTTGTACAGGCTGAGAAGAATGTTTATGCTATAAAACTAGCACATGAACTTCCAGTTCATGAACAGCAGAACATAATCTCAAGAACATAGCATGCATGAAGAGAGACAATTCCAGGCCCACAGTGGTCACTTTGACTGACTCTTTACAAATGTTCTAGTATTTGTTGCAAACTTACATCCTTGTGATTAGAAATGCGACCTTCAATATACAATATAATCCAGACTCAAAACTCTAGAGCTCCGTGCAGCAGAATCTCGGTAATCATCTTCAAGGGTGTTGCAGCAAAAAATATTTTTGAACATGTCGCCAGCAAGGAGAGCTCCAAATTTTGCTCTGCTGTCGCTTTCTTTATTTCAGAGTCTCTTCTTGCTTTCAAATTATCGTGCACACTGAACTTCTACGTAATTCTTTCTCTTGTTAATTTGTCACTGGTGGTTTCGACTGACATCCATACATATCTTAGGAATCAATGGTTTTGTCATAGTCCTAAAATTGACCTTCACTCTATGATATTAGCTTGACCAGTCAATACAAATACACTTGACCCCATGGCAATATAGATTGCAAATGAAATCTTTCTAAAGAACCTAGCAATCAGGAAAGTCAGACGAAAAAGGTTTGCACCAAACACAGAGCTCATGTTGCGTGCAAGCTGTCTGTAGTCCTTCCTGTACTCTAGGTTCCTGACAAAGAATGCAATACAAACTGATTCTCTTTTGTCCTACTATGTGAATGAAATGGCTGTAGTGTTTGCACTAGGGGGTGGTCTATGTGTTAAAGACATGCTATCATTGATGAAAAATGACATTTTTTGGTATAGTTTTGAGCAAACAAGACAGCTAAAAGTAAATTATATACATATTTACTTAATTTGAACATGCACCTTTTTTTTGTGAGAATCTGAAAATTACACCTTACAAATCATACATGAAACTCAAACGGTGTTCATGGCATTGGCAGCGGCCTCACTGTCAGAGCCAGAGTCATCACCACAACCATTCAAGACAACAGAAAAAAGTTTTGCACAAGTTGGTGCAGGTCATACCGTTACTTCTAATAATTCACTGTTATGACTTGCCCAGCCGTTTAAAAAGTCCCAAATTTGTCACCTGCGAGGTAGAGAATAAGAGCTTGCCAACGATGCACAAGAGCTTGCCTCCTTAACAGCAACAGGAAAACTCGAAGGCACCACTGGCCTGCCAACCATGCTACTGCAAGACGTTGCAGCTCATGGATTTCATCCCCTAGAATTGTGTCCCAAATGCTTGTACTTTTCAAATTTTTTAGCGTCACACAAAATGCAATTTTGTTCGGAGAATCTTGCAAATTGGTATCACCTTGAAACCAAGATCATATAACCGAGATTCTGCTATGCTACACTGTACACTTGCTCAGACAAAAAAATGGGCCTGATGCATAATTATTGCACAAACACACATAAAAAAACAGCCCTCTAGATAGGCCACCAAGAAAATTATCCACAGATCAGACGTAGCAAGACAGAAACAGTCCAACTTTTGGGAGCAGCTTCTGGAGAAAAGAAATACTAAACAGTTATTTTTTTAAACCCTGCCTCTTGATGCATTTCTGATATGTGGTACACACCACTGGCCCGCATTTCTTTTTCTAATGTTACGAATGGTGTGTTCCTCAAGAAAGCCACGAGCTTTCATAAAGGACAGATGTCAACAAGACTGTCTTGAACACTCACTTCATTCAGACAGCTCTATAAGCATCCAAGGGACTCTATCTAACATGAAAGAAAGGAAATGCTGATAGAGGAGGAACTTCAGTTGGCGTTAACCGGTGGTGGCTGTTCCGGAATGAGTGAGGTGAAGAAGGTTGCCACGAACGTCCAGGCTGTTGTGAGTGGTGATACCCCAGGCTCTGGCGGTGCATCATTGCCATCATGGTCCATTGCCTCTTCAAACTGCTCTGGGCCAGCTTGTCCCTGCAGAAGACGCACAGCTTTTTATCTTGCAAAACATTAGTAAGACAAAAGAAAAAACTTTTTTTAATGAAGTTCTTAATTATAGGATACAAGAGGTCGGCTATAGTATTTACTCGATTCTACCGCGCCCTCGATTGTAACGCGCACCCGATTTCCACGACGAAAAAAAAAAAAGGCAAGACATCGATTGCAACGCGCACCCATTTTTCTTGCTGGCCCGCACGATCACACCACTCGAAAAATTAACTCCTTTCGGGAGCGTCTTCCATTTAAATAAAAGGTACGGGGGAAGCTTGTGCCCATCTGACCTGTAACAGAGCATTGCCGTCACTAGTTTTACCGTGGACCGAGGTCAGCACGCGAACTTGCTTCGCCCCCTTCTTCTCGACGGTTGTGGTGCCAGGCATGCCCAAGTAAAGAGGCTTCTGATCGGCATTCCCGATTTGCCCAAGCAGGTAGCCGTTGTTGTGCCGCAAGTTTAGGACGAACCTCTGAAAACTGTGAAGCTTGTCATCGTACTCCTTCGCAAAACTTTTCGCATATGCCCGTTCACTTTCGGAGGGAAAAGCCTTTCCTCTTCATAAAGTTAGTTAGCCAGCACCTGCTCGCTTTAAACTGGCTCCGCATTAGCCCTTTTTCTAAGGCTAACTGCATAGCCCGCACTTGGAGCAGTTCTGTCGTCACGGGCCGCTGTGCCGCTCGCTGCTCACGCACATACTCGCCAAGCAGCTCTTCAATTTGCGAAAACCGACCCTGCTGTGGTCCACTGAAGCCTTTGCGTGAAGCTTTGCTGTCGACAATCTTCTGCTTTCGTTTCCGCCAGTCCGGCACGTACGTTTCAGGAACTCCTAACGACCGCGATGCGGCCCGATTCCCATCCGTTTCTGCACACGCGATGAATTTTTTATTTTTTTTTAAAGCGGCATCGTGGTGCACTCGAGTTTTTGGAGTCGGCCCTTTCATGCCGTCGATGCAAATGCACTACAAGATGACGAACTCCTCGGCACACGTACAAAGTGTCGCACATGCGAAACACATAGGCAGAAATGGCCAACGCGCCATGTCGACGCACGTAGGGGGCGGCCATTTTGAAAATGCCGATGGCAATAGAATGACCGCATTCATTTTTTTTTCGTACTCGATCCTAACGCGCATGCGATTTATGAACTCGCTTAATCATAAAAAAGGTGCGCGTTAGATTTGAGTAATTACGGTATACACTTGAACCTCGGTATAACGAAACCAGATATGACACAATTTCACTTATAACGAAGTAAATAAAAAATAGTCTTGCAATAGATATAGTTTTAGGAATATACCTTTATAACAAATTTTCAAATATAACAGACTTATTTTCGTGTAAGATGCAACTTTGTTATAATAAGGTTTGAAAGTAATAAGAAAGTCATTCCTGTGAAGAGTCCATTGCCTTTCCAAAAAGCAGGCACTGGTAATTTTTGAAAAGATGAAATTTAGCCAATATCACTACAAAAGCTAAAGCCGAAGAGCCAATCTTTCATACCCTAGAAAATGGCCAGAATGAGAATGGTTAACGACAGTCTATCTACATAGTTTTGTGGCAGTGAAGGCTGCACTTGTTAGGATAACATGCGTTGTGCACGAAGATTTAAGGATGTATAAGAGTAACACCACTGCAATTGGTGTAGGAAGTACCATATTTTCTTGCATATAACTCGCACCTTTAACTTTGAACACCCCCCCCCCCCCAAAAAAAAAAATCCTCGCACATAAGTGGCATCCTTAGCTTAAAAAAAGTGTTTTGGGAAGTCACAACTGTACAGAACATGACAATCTCGTTTACAAAAGAACTTTATTTCGTGGCGATCGCCGCAACGTGGACGGTGCCGATTTCCATTTCTTCAATTATCGCCCGACTCGCCGCTGTCGCTGCTGCCATCCGAGGCTTCGTCGCCGCTCTTGAAGACGCTATCCTCTTCGGTGCCATCCAAGCAATTGCTGATAGCGCATTTTTTGAAGCTTTTGCGCACCATGTCGACCGGAATCGCCCCCCATGCATCCATGATCCACTGGCATAGCAGCACAATATCTGGCCTCCGCATGTGCCCAGTCAGTGTCAGGATGTAATGGCCGTCAGCAATCCACGTGCACCTTGAACAGCTTATTGAGGCACACGTCCAATGGCTGTAACATGGAAGTCATGCCATTGGATATGATCACAAGGTCGGTGCGGTGGTCAGCAAGGCGCGCTTTCACTGCATCAGTGCAGTGGCCTTGAAACGAGTCCAACACCAGCATCAATCACTGTCAGTACGATCAGTGTCAGTACGATCACAGATTTCATGTGTCAGTACGATCACAGATTTCAAGCCCTTTTTCTGCAGAGTGGCGTTTATGGGCATCTCGAAGTACACCGGCGTTTGATCAGCATTTTCCACTTGGGAGAGCAAGTAGTTGTGCTCCTTCCGCAGCCCGATGATGTAACGTTGATAGCTCAACAGCTTATCCTCGAAGGCGTTGGGAAGCCGCTGGCACACACTCATTCGCCGCCGTATCGAAAATCAGTGCCTGGCCATGAATCACTGGAGCCATCCACGGCTCGCACAAACTAGCGCGAGATGTTCATCCCATGGGCCAACCTCAGTGCTTCCATTTGCCCCATCTATGTTGACACAGCGTGGCCACAACCCCTTCGCTCCTTAATAAATTTGACAAGCTGCATCTCAAGAAAAGGGTATACACCAGTCTTCGGGCCGTGAAATGCTCGCTTCTCCTTGCGTGCACTTTTGAGAGAGGTTTTTTTTTTTTTCGCCAGTTGCGAATGCAGGACTCGTCAATGTCATGCCTCCTTGCAGCAGCTCTCTTGCCGATTTCTTCCGCAGCAGCTATAATCTTGAGTTTTTCTTTCGCGGTGAAAGATTGCCGCCGAGACCCACTCATGGTGCCTCACCAGACAAGGCTGACCAATGGTGCAAGCTGGGCACACCTGACTCTGAGAAAGAACCTGTGAAATAGCTGTTGTGGCGCTGTTGACCAAATCAAACAAAGCATGCAAAAAGCGAATAAGCATGCTATGGAGAGGATCTGTTTATGGCCTGTGTTGGCTTTTATTGGCTTTGCACCGGACGATGCTGATGGGGATGCGGACTGCACAGGAGGCCATGCATTGCCGTGAAGTCGACCTTCGCTTCTGGATTAATCACAGATAACCCGCACCCCCCTTTCCTTTTCAAGCGTTTATTATTATTTTTTTTTCAACTTTTGGTGCAGGTTAATGCGAGAAAATATGGTAGTCTTGTCATACAAGACGTCTTGTACAGGTACGGAAGCTGCACTCTTCGGCACTGCGGTTTCAAAAATGAAAGTGGTCGGTGTCCATCGCTGCAAAAATGACTAGCAACCACTTTCTGGAAATTTCAAAACAATGGGCCTTTTGCAGGAAGGATATTGATACTCCCATATGACCTAACTGTGAATCCCTGGAAACTACTATCACAATTTATATGTCTAGTCTTCTAATGGTGTCTGCTACCACAGTAGAAGTTATTATGAAGGTACCAAGCAAATAATGCATTGTCCTTGTTTTCAAGAATTTCTGAACGCATTCCTTGCAACACCCCGAATGGCAACACTTAGCCTGCAGCACAAACTGAAATATATTCCCACAAACTATGAAAATGAAGAGCACTATGTGATGATAGTAATGCACAAGTGATGAAGCATCTTACAAATGCCCACAATACCCAAAAGTAGGGATGCCTAACCTGTGGATGAATCTCTGCAGCCGGGTGGTCTGCCTGCTGCTGGTCCGCCTCTCTCTCACGGTTCTGATCGTGCCCCTGCTCTAGCTCCTGCTGCTGCCACAGAGCTGCAAACCAGCCTCCTTGGTACCTACAGAAGTAGTACAGACTCCATTGAGGCGTTGCACGATACTGGGCCAAAATTTCACCCAACTGTGAAAACTTGTTAATTGCTATCTCGCAGAAAAAATTTTAAAAAAAGTAAAAAGAAAAAATAGGAAAAGCATACACAAGTAAACATACCCAGGTATTTAGTGGAAATAATTGGTATAGCCTCCCGAAATCTTACCAATATTTTTTAGTGTTAACTCCACAACATTGTAGCAAATCGCAACATGATCAGGAATATAATGACAAGCACACAAAGTACTCAAGTGCACAGCCTGCTGCATGGCGTTTGCAAAGGCTCGATAAGCCGAAACGACTGGCAGCTTCATTTGCACAGTTATCCTGTGTGCAAAAATGTTGGAAGTCACATTATATCGAAGTAGGCGAGAGGCAGCATGATGTGTTTGCTCACTTCGACTAGCATTGTTCATTGCCAAAGCATTGAATGAGAGTGTGGTCATCAAGCGAAATCTGTTCATGTTTGCTTCAGCGCACATTGCAAAATCCTTGTTAATTTACAATATTTATATTCAAATATAAGCATAGCCATTTACTGAGAATTTGAGTCTTATAGTTAATTAGCACATTATAAACAAAATTGGTAGAATTAGTGGGTGCTGAATTGTTGAGGAAGTGAGAATAAAAGCTCTACCGTAAAATGCAAGGCAACGAACCTATCTCAAGTAAGCACTTCCTCTAATTTCACTGCAAATTGCGAATTTCCATGCAGTTCTCCAATAGTTACTCTCCCATCTCCTCCTTTCCCTTACATGCACTACACCCTGATAATGCATATGTCCAGACAACAATAGCCTGCTTGAATCTCATTTAATTCAATCCTGCTAAGCAGCCTGCACCTGATATTTGCTATGAAGATTTGATTGAAAATTCTTTTCCCCACATAATGAATGCAACATAGTACACGACCTCTACGACGACTTTCAGGTTCGTGCAAAGTTCTCCCGAGCAAAAGTAAAGCCTTTGAGACCCATGTCTGTAGCAGATAGCTTAATTAAACCAACAGACAATGAAGGCGAGGGAGGCATAAGAAACATTGTCCGAAACTATTAGCTGTAGTGTAGCATTCATGACATAAACAGAAAGAAAACAAAGCGGACACAAAGTCAACTAGCAGATAGTAGGGATCAAACCTTAAAACCTTCAGATAATGCATCTGACGCTTCGCCGATTGAGCTTCATTGGCAGTTGTTTTATCATCTACTTCCTTGAGCATCTTTGAGAGTAACTCGGAGAGTGACAGCAAGTGCAACTCACAGCCATGACTATGGGTATAGAACACTCTTGAAGAAAAAAACGTAGCGCAAAATAAACAAGGACGACAGAAAAACATGGGACTGGTGCTACACTCAGCGACTTTTCTTGACAGAACTAAGGAGGCAGCAGAACCAAAGTACATGCCTGTCATCGCACCAAAATTTTCCACAACATTGTTTCACAACCTTCTCCCCCCACTTTGTTCCACAACTTCTTTCTCTGCAGATTGGTGGCCTGCCATAGCTTCATGTGACCCTGCCTAAGTCTGGTTGACATAAAAGGCTGTCCAGGCCACCTAGGCTGCCCTCGTGAGCTACCGTAATTACTCGAATCTAACGCGCACCTTTTTTCCAGTTAAGCGAGTTCATAAATCGCATGCGCGTTAGAATCGAGTACGAACAAAAAAATTACAATCAATCTATTGCCATCAGCAAATCCAAAATGGCCGCCCCCTACGTGCGTCAGCTAGCCACCATAGCATGGCGCGTCGGCCATTTCTGCCTGTGTTTCCCATGTGCGGCACTTCGTACGTGTGCTGAGGAGTTCATCATCTAGTAGTGCATTAGCATCGACGGCGTGGAAGGGCCGACTCCAAAAATTCGAGTGCATCACGATGCCGCTTTTAAAAGAAAAGTCATCGCGTGTGCAGAAACGGACGGAAATCGGGCCGCATCGCGGTCGTTCGGAGTTCCCGAAACGTGCGTGCGGGACCGGCGGAAACAAAAGCAGAAGATTGCCGACAGCAAAGCTTCACGCAAATGCTTCAGTGGACCACAGCAAGGTCTGTTTCCGCAAATTAAAGAGCTGCTCGGCGAGTATGTGCTTGAGCAACGAGCGGCACAGCAGCCCGTGACGACAGAACTGCTCCAAGTGCGGGCTATGCAATTAGTATTAGAAAAAGGTCTAATGCGGAGCCAGTTTGAAGCGAGCAGGTGCTGGCTAACTAACTTTATGAAGAGGAAAGGCTTTTCCCTCCGAAGGGGAACATGCATATGCGAAAAGTTTTGCGGAGGAGTACGATGTAAAGCTTCACAGTTTTCAGAGGTTCGTCCTAAACTTGCGGCGCAACAACGGCTACCTGCTTGACAAATTGGGAATGCCGATCAGACGCCTCTTTACTTCGACATATCTGGCACCACAACCGTCAAAAGAAGGGGGCGAAGCAAGTTCGCGTGCTGACATCGGTCCACGGTAAAACTACAGTGACGGCAATGCTCTGTTACACGTCAGATGGGCACAAGCTTCGCCCGTACCTCATATTTAAATGGAAGACGCTCCCGAAAGGAGTCGTTTTTTCGAGTGGTGTGATCGTGCGGGCCAGCAAGAAAAATGGGTGCGCGTTGCAATCGATGTCTTACGTTTTTTTTTTTTTTTTTCGCAGTGGAAATCGGGTGCGCTTTACAATCGAGGGTGCGGTAAAATCGAGTAAATACGGTACTCACACGCAAGGCTTAAGCGAGCAACAATACAATGCCGCACTAGCTTCTGGGTGCCACTGGATCGCGATATTAGATTTCAAAAGACCGACAATCTCCTTTCTTCCTTTTACAAACTTTAATATGATTAAAAAAAATAATACGAGCATAGTTTTCACTTTGTTAAGCAGTTTCAACTGTACATTAAACATGGTAGTGAACATCTCAAATATATAAACATTAGAGATGTGTGAATATTCGAACTTTCATATATTTTTCTAATAGTGCTTGCTCTTCGATTCCATTCGCACTGAAACTCTGACGATTTGAAGTATTCGAACTTCCCGAAGACAGATTTAACATCCAATTGGGCAGTTGACCATTCAAAATTTTTTTACCCCATCACACTCTCGTGTTGCGTAAAAGCTGCCTTTCAGACTCTGCTACGCTAGCAAATTTATTGATTCGAGAAAACGCTGATTCCAACGTGCAGATGGTATGCGCCGTTACAAAGGCCCCTTAATTTATCAATATGCTTCGCCGCATCACATTCTGGTATTGCAGAAAAGATGCCTATAGCGCTCCGCTATGGCTTCAGACTGATTGACTCATGAAAGCAGTGGTTCGAACCTACACGGCAGAGGCGAGGGTTTTAAATAATGCTATTTCAGACCGGAACGTAAAAAAAAAAAAAATTGGATGAAGATCTTTAGCATATGAAATTTGAGGTGTTTTTATATAATGATATCTACAGGGCAGATTAGCAACTCCGAATTTGAAAAGAGCAGGGCCTCGTCCGCCAAAATCATTTAGGCTTCCACAGAAGTCGTGGAGAGAATAGCAACATGGTTTCCTTTCATGTGTAAAGTGTTGTCGATGCCAAATTGGTTGCACCAAGTTATGTAAATAAGTACAATTAGTCTCTGCAATGATTTATCCTTGAAAAACAACTAGGGAACACCATTCCTTCAGCACTTCACCTACCTAGCCTAAAAGAAACACTTTCATGTTCTTAACTGATAAAAATGTGCTTAGGAATCCTCTGCAACTTTTTTTCTTTCTGCAATTTCACTTTGAAGCAATAAAAAAATATTCTATGAGATTTGCACTCAATCTTTAATACTTGAATTTGCTTCGTACTCAAAATTTTGCTATTTGCACAGCTCTAGTAAACATACAGTTCAGTGTTAGATTTTTGCTTGGAATGCTCAAGAGAGTGTTAGAACTACACTCAAACCTCATTATAACAAAGTCCTACCTGCCACGAAAATACTTTGTTATATCCGAAAATTCGCTATAAACATATAGTTGTAGCACTGTAGCTATGACAAACCTAGTTTTCATTTACTTTGTTATAACCAATAATTCGTTAGATCCAGGTTTATTATATCAAGATTTGAGTGTACTTCACATAATTATTCAGCTTCCAGGAGTTCAATATACAGTCGAGCCCACATATAACGGCCCCACTTAAAACAAACAATATCTGCGTGACCGTAAAAATATACATTGCTACAAAGGCACAAAATCGCACTTACAACGAACGTCTCCGAGCGCCGCTGATCGGTTACAGCGAACAGAGTCAGCGGTCTGCCGACTTTCCGGGAAACCAATTTCGACCACCGATCAGGCATCGGCAAGGTGCCCATGCATTCTTATTGTTAAACGCCGATTCTGCCTCCGCGCCCCTCTAGTTGCTGCTCTCCCCGACCACTTTTTGTTATGCATCCGTCCGTCCTTCGCCCCCCCCCCCCTCCCCCCCCAAAAAACTCGGATCGCTAGACGAGGCCCGTGTTTTCACACTGCTACCGATCTTTCGAAGACGGTCGGCCACGTACCCTGTTTTGGATCGCTGGTACTGTCATTGGCGTCACCAGCCTGGAGTGACCAGACCATTTGCCAATATCGTCGGCCACCGACTGTATCCGATAGTCTGCGCCTAGTGCATGTGCGTACGCTACCCCACTGACTCTGGTAAGTTGGCGTCACCGGCCTGGAGTGACCACACCATTTGCTAACATCGTCGGCCACCGACTGTATCCGATAGTCTGCATCTAGTGCATGTGCGTACGCTACCCTACCGACTCTGGTAATTCACGATTCGTTTCGTGTTTAGGAGTTGTTCTCGCTCACTACGCATTCGACTCAGCATGCCTTCCGCGCGCGTGCGGAAGCGCGAAACCAGCTGTTAATTTGCACGGAATGAATCGCGAAATATCGAAGTTCGTGAGGCCACGCAAACCTGCCGGCGCAACAAGACGATTTTTTTTATCACGACCGCCGATTCTTCGAACGCCGCCGCGTGGACCGAACGAGGCGGCCATGCTTTGACTTTTGCGCCCGCTGGCACTCTCTTCAAGTTTTTCTACGTGCGAGTTTCGTGGACCTTTCAAGCAAGCTACCTAACCTGCCTCCTTCCCGTGTGTTTTGGTTTTCAAGGTCGCCTGCCCGCCGCATCCTCCCTTCGCTTTATCGCACGGAGGAAGGAATCTTTCATTCCCCCGTGCTTTATTGCAACTCCTTGCCCTTTTCTCGCAAGTCTGCTCTCTTCTCTTGATCACAACCCCTTCGCCCGTCTCTACCGCTCCGCGACGCCCGCCACGCTGGCTCGAATTAGTTTGGTTTTCCGACTGGAAACGCGCCCAGAGCTGTTCCACGCGTCTTGCTCACTCTTGGTGTGTGTGTGTGGTCATGATGACCGACGGGAGGACTAGCGCGCTTTTTCGTGCCGCTCAACAAAACGTCGAAAGTGTGACCGCTTCGCTTGGGCGTAATCCGCGTGTTAGGTGCTGCGTTGCGGAGTGCTTGCTCATAGCTGTTGACCACCTGGCAGCCAACTTGCCGCTTCAGGCATCCCGGTATTCAGCTGTGGAGATGGTGAATATTTCATTGGCGGCGGTGACGGCTACATGTGCGCGAAACTATTTCCGCGAGGCCGACTTCGTCGATCGTCGGGCTCGATGCCGAGCCTGAAGCTTCCGAACAGGACTACTGCGGCGGCGATTTGTGGAAGCGCGTTGTCGACTCCGCCCTGGGAGAGCGGGTGGGACATCTGTTGCGATGATTTAATTACGGCCGAAGATGATGCCGACACTGCGGAACCGTGCACGGATTGCGGCATTGTGAATGAAGTACATGGCAAGAGCGATTTGGAGGAATCGGATTGCGAGAACGGCGAAGCTTTGGAGCCAGCGCCTCATGCAGCTTATGCCACGGGCCTCGGCGAACGAGCAGCCTGCCCTTTTAAATGAACTCAAGACCGTCCTTATTGTTTCCGTTCTTCCAAACACGTGCATCACGGACTTTCTGGCGCAAAAAAAGTTTGTGTTTTCACTCACAACTTTTTTAAAAGTTGTGTTTCATTTACTACGAACTTTGGGATCCAGCGAACGAATGCCCCGACCCGCTCAAGTTCGTTATAAGCGGGCTCGACTGAAGTATGTCCAAGTTTGGCGTATTATTGCATTTAAACACTGCATTTCATCGTGTCCAATGTAGCTTCTCTTGTCGATGCTCCAGATTATGGTGCCGAAGTATCTCCGAAATTTGGCAACAGGAATACAATTGATCCCCGATATATCCAACTCGGATATATTGAATTATTGGCTATATCGAACAGTCTAGAAATCCCCTTAAATTTCTCATGCAAAAGTATTGGACCAGTGCACCCCTACATCGAACTCCCACACAACGGGACATCCGCTATAGTGAACGCTGCGCCGTGCCGAAGCCCAGAAAGTTTTTCTGTAGCAAATATTGATCGATTTTCGGCTGCGTTCTAACAAGTTCAGGTTCTTTTTCATGCGCAGGCAGCAAAAAAACAGTGTTATTCCATTGTGCCAATCTGGTTCGTTGCGCGACATTTCAGAGTACGTTTGATGCGCAATCTGCAGGTCTTAGCGTGCGAGCATAGTGTTTTTCAAAAGACCTATTGCTGAGGGCACCGAAATGAGAATGCGAACTGACTCTGCAATCTCATTGCAATGTTCGCATTCCCTTCCTTGTTTGTTAGCGCACAATAACATGAGAGCCCGAAAAGCATGGCCTTGGAGATGTGCAACTTTGTAACGTATTTTTAGGGTTTTCGGTTTTAAAGGACGTGTCTTGTAGGCTACGCTTTTTAAAAAATCTTTTTGCATCAAAGCCCCTGAAAGCAGCAGCTGCCAAATACAAAGCCACAAGTGATATCGATATCGCCCACATGTCGACAGTGGGAACTCAGACAAACACGGCATAGTGTCTTTTGCAGCTTATGACATCGTGTACTTTTCGCTTCGTTCCTGATAAATTCTCATTTGGGAGTTGAACTGAACATTCACTTTCACATAGCGATAAAAATGATGACTAGCGCTTGTAGCGACGTCAAGTAAAACACCGTCATAAACGTTCCTTGCTGTCCAGGAGACGACTTCGGGTGCGTCATTACTGCTGACAACAGTGTACAGTGCCCCAGTGAATTCTGCGACTCATCAGCGTTTCCGGGCACCCTCTCGGACAATGAACAACTTCATCGGTACAGATGATGACGTAGCTGTTTCTGACTGCATCGACGCTGAGACCTTGGCAGCCGTTGCTGGCACCACGGAAGTGTAGCCGTGCGTTTATGAATGTGCCAACGCCTTCGCTGCCGCTGTTAACCAACCTTTTACTACGCTACGAAGCTTACATTAGCGTTCTACATGAATCAACGTTGTTGTGGCCAAAGGAGCTAAATTCGCTTATTTGAAAAGCTTCAATGATATTGAGGATGACTGGAACTTGACGGTGTGCAAAAAGCAAGACAAGTTTGCAGACTATTTTCATGCGAAATAAAGCGCGGCAAGTTGCAGTTTGCACCTTGTTTTTCATTATAGTGTGAGCGATTGATTATGTTAGCTTTCGTAATACTTTGTGAGGCCTCAAATCGTTCAATTTAGGCCCTAAATATGCATATTTTATATTTCCGATGCTCGATATATTGAACTATTTCGCGATCCCCATCGAGTTCGATATATCTGGGATCGACTGTATGAGTGCATAGATGGCAGTAGAGTCAGTGCACTCGGCTGATAATCATTAGCCCAGTTGATTGAAGGGGACAGCATATCCTACAAAAAAGACACAACTATCTCGCAACATTTATCTTGTAAAAACACAAGTCATAGTGTTGTGCACCACCCTAATTACAAAGCTTCACTCTCGGTGAAAATACATTTAGCACTCACAAGTTCATGAAATTTATCAGTTACCATCCATGATATGGATCCATGCTAGTGCAAACAAAAATCATGAATAATGTTCTCCCTAAGATGGATACAGCTTGCAATGAACAGCACTTTTTCATAGGCTGAATTTATACACTTGCTACCAGCACAGGTTAACAGCAGAGTGAACAAATGTTAAAGTGATCCCTATGCTCATTCACTGCTGTGCACCAATGTGAGCCCTACAGTTTATGCATGCTAAAAACCAAGTGAAATGGGTATACACTTACAGGTACATAAGCAGAGCGATTCCAGTGACGACAAGGAACCTCCCGAAGGAGGAATAGAAGTAGACAATGCTAAGCAGGACAGTTGCCCTGCTCACAGTATAAATCCAGTCCAGCCAGTCACGCTGAGCTGCTTCCTCTTCCTCCTGAAAGAGCAGTCAAGTGCCATACCAAAAGCAAGTGTCACACCCTTCTACAAACTTTTCCCATTTTAACATCTGTGAAAACACACACACAAACACAGATTATGTCATATGCCAACTTGGCAAATTAATTGGGTGGTGGTCAAACATGGCAAAATTAACAAGTTTAAAGTCCATAAACACTACATATGCTTGCCAAGACCATAGAACACACTAAAATCATTCAATTTTCCAAATTAACAAGCTTTTACTATAGTCACAAGTGCGAGGCAAAACTGATAGCACTGCCCCGCCGTGGTGGCCTAGTGGCTAAGGTACTCGGCTGCTGACCCGCAGGTCGCGGGATCGAATCCCGGCTGCGGCCGCTGCATTTTGAATGCACGCGAAAATGCTGTAGGTCCATGTGCTCAGATTTGGGTGCACATTAAAAAACACCAGGTGGTCGAAATTTTTGGAGCCCTCCACTACGGCGTCTCTCATAATCATATGGTGGTTTTCGGACATTAAACCCCACATATCAATTTATCAATCAATCAAACTGATAGCGCTGAAGAAATTGTGATACGTCTGTGTAACAGCATATGGTCACAATCGAAAGGGGCATATTGAAACTATTACAGGGAACACAGCAGCAGAGCGAACAACTCATTCCGCTTCTCCAATGTGTATATGCACACATTTGTGCTTGAATATCCTATAGAGCAACAACCACCGCCACTTCACTGAAATACCATACCTGCTGCTCACTTGCCATCCCGAGCCATTTGTGTGCAGTGTGTGAACCTACCAAGTTCATGCCTTTCCAGGATGCTTGCTGTACTGCACCTGTGCATGCGTTTGGAGTGGTAGAGTCTATGCATGTGATTTCGTTGTGCTCAAATTGTTTCTCACTTTTTCACAGGTACTAGCGCACATTATGTAAGCTCCGGGGTGCCTCTGGTTGGGCCAACCTGGTGATGGCGATGCTTTAGTTTCCACACGTGACATACAATTGAAGCAGTCTTGTGCAAGGAGGCAGTTGCAAGAGGGAGCATACTCCATTTAGGTAGCAGCCCATTAAAATTGTGCAGTATGCTTAACAGGACTACACAGCATGTGCTCCTAAGCAGGTAGCTGAATGTACATATCATGATAAGTTTGATGGCTAAAAGTTGCACTAGTGTGTGTGTGTTAGTGGCCACCATCATGTTCAAAATTTATTAAAAGCTTATCTGTATAATTACAGCCCTGACGTCTCAAACATAAAGTAAGAGTTTTGTGGCACAATATGGCATTGTCAACACAGACTTGAGAGGCACAGTGCAGTTCAAGGGGAGATACTCGTTGAAAAACGCAAGTTTTTTTTTTTAAATTACCTATTTTTCGTTCTCATTTACTTTCACAAGTTTAGTTTCTGTACTTTCATGAAAAAAATTAGAAGCTTGTAATTAAACTCGAAACAGGTAAAATCGCTTTGAAAAAGCACAAGGTGGCCACTAAAAACTAGAGAGATCTCGCTGTCTAGAGTCGCCTGGAAATTGTCACCTGGCTGCTTGCCATTGCATTTTGCATGCAGCAGGTCACCAAAGCACATGACCAAAACAACCATGATACCCAAACTCTTGTGATGGAAGAAATCATTTTAAAAAACATATTTTTCTCACACAAATGAGCTTTCACATATGCACTTAAAATGCATTTTTCCCAAGATATAATTTTGGGCAACTTTTTGAGATCTGACATCCATGTTTTTGCTACTTCTGGTAGCCGAATTGGGATGAAATTTTTCCCACACATTTTTAGCATATGAAGAGTGCAAGTATTTCCTTTAAAGTTGTTATTGCCTATAAAATTATTATGACCTTTAAGTGAGCAATTACCATGCTCAGAGCATTCTAAGACTTTTCCATTAAAACATCTTATACAGAAAATATCTTTAATTCAGTCACTGAGACGGTAAAAAATGTAATTAGGCAAGTTTTCAAATTGATGAAACATGCAAAAAGTGGGATGCTGGGAAATTTGAATTACTGAATGTAATCAGAGGTGGTCGTAGCTCTAAGGGTTATATTTTCCCTCTATACCCTGGCCCAATTTTGCCCTAAACACGGGTGAACGGTGGGTACTACTGCTGCCAGAAGTGGGGAAAAAAAAAAAAAAAAAAATTTGCACCCCCCCCACCACCCTAAAAAATGATGCATTTCCCTGCAACACAGTTGTGACACGCAGGCAGCATGTCACCCGCTTTTTGCAGCGTCAGCGCGCCATGATGCAACTATTTGCCCAATCTTTCTGGCAAAACTAAGAACTTATAATGTCTATAAAAATGGAATTCGCTATGTGTTTTGGCTCGAAAATGTGGCATTGAAGTTTTACAACTGATTTTTCGAAGCAGGCGTTACAGGTAGAAACTCCATCAGCAGTGCAAATGCGCAAATTGCTGAAGCAACCGCCAATCAGAAGTTCACACACACAGCAAATTGCATTAGGCTGACCTTTGTTAATTTCTTTATATTCCCAGGAAGAATCGGTAAATCATAATGTGCTGATGTTGCGGGAAGCATGCGATGTGCTGTCTCCGTGTCACCATGGTGGTGCAGTGAAGCATGTCTTTTCCGCAGGTGCACATTTAGGTTGCTCACAAGACTGCCCTCTAATAGCTCAGAACAATGAAAAATCAGTGACAAAAAAGTGTGTGCAAGAAGGACTATATGTTACACAATATTATGGTACAAAACAAAAACTATGGAAGTTACAATAAAACTGATTACATATTCAAAATGAGCACAAAATGTATACAGAAAAAAATTCTTTCCCTAGGCAACAGCTTAAATAACCTTGTTTTCGAGTAGCACAATGATGGCATGGCTCAGTGCCTAATGCTGTTTGCCTGATGGTGTTATTTGCTGCAATTTTCAGTGCTTATCTGAATAGGAATTGTGCTAAAGTTATAATCACTGATCGAGTGGCCTCTTAACTGAAAACACTGTAGATCTGTGGTCAATGCACAGTGTGGCATTGACCACAGTGCCAGCTGAAAGGTGTAGTTAGCTTTTATGCAGCTATCCGTAATAGCACGATGGCTTTTTTTTTCTGCCTGCCAGCAAAGTTCTGAAGTGAAAGGTTGCCTGCAAAAAATAAACTTTTCATCCACTGACGCTTACAAATTTTTAGTTGGTCATACAGGTATCAGAATCATGCAAGCAGGGCTATAGTTATACCGGGTGTTCCAGCAGTCTTTAGTGAAGGGTTAAAAATACAATAGTATTAGAGGCAGGTGAGTGAAATGAGTTGCATATTGGTGACAGCCACCTTGCACACCACAGACAACTTTTTGTTTTGTGATTAATCTGTTAATTATGATTATTTAACTAAATTGCTAAATATTGACCATGGGCGAGAAACGGGACTTGCCATGTTCGAGAGTGTCTACAAAAATTCCCATTGCATTATTTGCAATTAAGTCTCACGTATACAATTTTTTCCAAACTGCAAAGAAAGCCCGCAAAATAAAAGAACCCCGTGACTTGCACATTCACACACCGGAAAAGTGCTGCTATTAGATGTCATTTGAGCGAACAAAATTGGCTGCAGCAGCGACTCGCCGACTTCGTTGCAGCCGTAGGCCAATGGGTTGTTGGTGCTTTATTGGCTAGCACATGCTACAAGTCGCACCATCACGCATGCCAACTGGCTGGCAATGGGCCAAGGAACCACCACCAGCTTAGCGGCTGAATGCTGCGACGTAGCCGGTGAGTTGCGGCCGCATCTGATTTTGTATGCTCACACAATGGCCGAGAGCAGCACGTCCATGGCACGCAAATGCGCTAGTCATTCGGTTCTTTATGTAATACGTGGGCTCTCTTTGCAGCTTGAAAAAAAAAAAGATGTACGTGATACTTTCTTTACAGATAGCATGAAATTTTTTAAAAATACAGTCAAACACTGTTATATCGAACCCACATACATATAATTTTCGGGTATATTGAACTCCATTGTTATCCCATTGAAATTCCTTTGTAAAGGTGTAGAAATTTGCACGTTTATATCAAATGGTATTTTAACCCACCTTCGGATATATCGAATGCTGCGCGAGCTGGAAGATGCGCTTCGCTGTGCTCCTCCTTTCATTTTTTCTTTTTATTTTTTGTTGCTGTTTTGAGAGTTTTTATCAGGCAACCACAGCTCGCGCCTTTGCTGTTGCCCTCGAAAACGGCCATCGCCTCGCGAGCGCTTTGTTGCTTCTGCCGTCGCGTTGCTACGTACCATCGCGTGTGCAGCATTTCTCTTTTGCGTGCGTGGTGTGCAAAGCCGCTGCGCTTGAATTGACTTCTTGTGTAGCTCTGGCCAGCGTTAAGAAGCGCAAGACTCTTGACTTTGCGATGAAGTTGAAGGCTCTTCAGCGTGTTGAGGCGGGCAAAAAATGTTCGACCGTCGCGGACAATTTCAGGATACCACGGAGCATTCCGAGTACCTTGTTCAAAAACAAGGCAGATATCAAGGCAAAGGCAGCGGAGCAGCAAACGTCGGGAGCCTATCATGTGCGCGCTTCTGCCCACGAGAATGTAGAAAAGGCACTATACGCCTGGTTTTTAGAATAGCGCGTAAACAACATTCTGGTGGACGGCCCGATGCTGATCGCCAAGGCCAAATGGTTTGCCGCTGCACTCGGTAAAACAACTTCGCCGACAATAGCAGGTGGCTTCACCGATTTACGCAGCGCTGCAACATCATAGGCAAAACCAATTCTGACCAAAGCAAAGCTGTCAGCAGCCAGGACATCCAGCAGTGGATGACGAAGGAGTGGCCGGAAATCTCTGTGAAGTTTTCTCTCCCACGGAGATCTTCAATGCTCGGCGAGACGTTAAGACGGGCACAGTGGTCAACAGCTTCTGCAAGGCAGGCTTTGAGACGGCGGAACTTGCGGAAACCGGTGAAGACGATGACGAGCGCATATACGAGGCGTTTAGCGATTTGTAGTCCTGCTTCCCGGCAACAGTTCCACACGAAGTGTCAGCGGACAACTTCATGGCAGCAGATTGCAATGTCAAGGCTGACAGCTCATGTGACGAAGAGGATCATCCGGACGAAACGCTGGCAACACGCGCGTACTACGCCGTTGTGGCATCATTCTCTGTTTTATCGGCCACATGGAGAGAACCAAGCTGTCGCACCTGGACAGCCTTGATAAGATCGAGACTAGCGTCTTCAACCAACATTTCAAAAACGAAGAAGCAGGTCAAGCTTAATGATGTTTTTCACGAAAATAATCATTATGTTGCGGCGTGTGTCCGGAATTAGTTGTCATTTTTCAATGTGCTTATTTTAGTAGATCTGCTGCCTCTATTTTTTTATATCGAATTTTTCATATTTCGAACTAATTTGCGATCCCTTTCGAGTTCGATTTATCTGTGTTCGACTGTAAAAGAAATACCATTAGTGTTTAATGGTGACAACAAAAATATTGTCCATAACATCAAGGTTTGATAGCACATATAGCCAACTTTTGTTAATTCCGACCCAATGGGACCAACAAAATCAACTGTATTATACGATACATAGAGTAATGCAAAGAGCAATAAACTCCACCGACATTTTTGACAATATCGGCCCCAATTCTAACACATCCCAAAATTGAAAAAAACATTCACACTTTGTGGGGGTGCAAAGCACATAAAAAATTAACACCACAGTGTTAACACTGATAAAGAAGTGTGCACCCATTTGTTTTTAAAGCTAAAAAATCACAGCATGCCTTGAAATTAAAAGGTTACAAAACCAGTGTGTTACCTCAGTAAAATTGAAAATTGCATACTCTAATTTATCAGTATTAATTTTTAAATATGTGTGCCATCCTCCATATGGATGATTGTGCATTTGAGGTTCTGCTCACAAATCAAACGGGATAGTGGTCTATATTGACAGTAACCCCACCAATAGAACATTTCACAAAGCATGCAATTTTCTTCAACTCTGAGAGCATCTGACAACTTGCTGCTGCAGGCTTATCGTGCAGAACAACTCATAGTTTGAATGTTCAATTGAAGTCTGATTGAGAGCTGCATGCTGTCGATGTCATGCTATATGCTAATTCATTCTGCCAACATACAATTTTGATGGCTTCTATCTTGTGATGGTGAGGTTATTGTAAACACAGTTTTAGTTTCGCATCATATTGCACCACCCACGCAATCTATGTTGAACTATAATTTATATTTACAAAAAAAGAAAAAGAAGCAGGCATTAGAATTTGGTAGGTACTGACTTAATTCACTGAGAACTACCATTTTCGCAGTAAAATCTTCTAGTGGAGGTTGAAAATAAGCATTCTTGATGGAAAATGGTACATGCTAGACACAGTCACTGCACCCTAAGCGCTGCCAAGACAGGCACTTAGTGTTAGAGTCACCAGTGCAGTCCCCTTTCAGAACGGGTGCACATGACATTACCAGCCAAGTGTGAATAATTTGGCAAAGGCTATTTCCAAAATAAAAACTAAAAAAAAATTCTTTTGACAGACATGTACCTCTGTTGGTCAAGACATTCAGTTGTTATTGAATAAACCTTACGACTGAATCATCCAGAGTCAAATTAATGCAGGCTTGATTGAAAGGCAGATGTGATCCCTCACCATAAATATAGCAAAAATGGCAGTCCATTATGCACTAGGTATATACCCTATCACTACTAAACATCACTCGTTATGAAACGTTAAGAACTATTAGAGCATTACAATATCTAATGTAATGGTGCCAGAAAAGCCATCGTAATCAAAGAGCAGCCACAGCATGCATTTATGTTCTTTATTTACATGGTTCTGTCAGTGGTAAAACTGTACCACTGCTCATCATGTATTCATACCTGCTACGAGTTGTAAACCCTGGAAATGGTCTCCCCCTCCACCCCTCCCTACCGCAAAAAACATAGCAAAAAGAAAAACGGGGCGGGATTCCGAACAGTACCGGAAGTGTAAACATTAGCGTGGTGGTTTTATCTTATTTAAACGCAGGTGGGCGTGTCTCCACTACAGCAGAGTCTCAGTGATACGTACGAATCTCAAGCAGGATAGATACGTAATATCCTAATCATCAGAAACTTTTCATAATAATAATAAAAAAAAGCAAGATCTTATTCCAGACCATGATATATGCACAAAACATTTCTTTCCATCAAACGAACTCGCCTTTACATGCACAACAGACCAATAAGGGACGGCGAAGCTGGCTGCAGCGACAGCGCCAGTCTAAGCTTTGCTTGAGGCCAACTGAAAAGTACTGAAGACTGTTACATCATAGTCACATGCGAAGACTGACTTGAACACAGAAATGCTTCGTGCCTTTTTGTTAAGCCCTTATCACATTTAATCTACCAATTACTTAGCGGCATATCTTGGGGACTTGTAGTCCCTAATAATCCTGTCGCAGTGACCGCGATTTCGCTCGCGCCTTTAAAACTATGTCGCTTTTTGCTACCAATGACTATATCTATCATGGTTTTGTCGTCGGCATTTGCAGAAAGAAGCCTCCCTTTGACTCTGCGGGCGTTGTATGGGTGTGCACTTTTGGAACTTTGTCAGCTCGTCGTCGCCATATGTGATCGCATCGAAAGTTACCGTGGTTTCGTAGGCCACACGTGTCCTTCCGAAGCTTCTAGCACGTTGCTCTCGGCCATTGCTCGATGATTTAGTAACAATGTTTATATCATCCTGCGCGATGCGCCAATGTGTTCAGATATAAATTTTGGCTTACTGGACACAACAGAATTCGGCTGCGGAATGCGATGATGACGATGAGTAGTGGGATTTTATGGCGCAAGGGCCACAAGTGGCCAAGGAGTGCTATTCTACAGTACATTATTCTACTGTACGTTAAAATCAGCACCTCTCAATTTCTTTAAATTATTATGCCATAGTGCAATAGCTTTCTTTACAAGAAGGCTGGATCTAATTGGGTTGGATTTTGCTAATGCAGCCAGATCACGCACAGAAATTTCGATTTTGGGAGATGTTCAGCCAACCATACAAACATAAGAAATGGTCGAAATCCGCAAGTCTCCCAGATATTCCGGGAGACTTGGTGGGTATGTGTATTGCACTGGCCCAAATACATAATAAAAAGTTACAAACTTTTCAGAAATGAGAATATCTACTTTGCTCTTTGTGCTAGAATAGTAAATTTACTCGTGCCTTTTAGAATGAATGACCACCAACAAGCCCAATTCCTCACCTTACTCTGAACAGCACCTCAGTCTTGACAACAACGTCAACAGCATGTGTTACACATGCTGTTGACGTCTGGCCATGTGTCATATTGGGTAGAGTAAAACATGTTGTAATTGGTAAAGTAAAAAATTATAATATAGAAAAATAAAAATAAAAGAACAGTGTTTATCAGCACCTGATTTGTGGAGTAACTTTTAAAAGCAATTATAGGATGACCTACTTATGAGACTAGTTAGAGCATCAGACGTGATATTCGAAGGTTCCATGTTTAGTCCCTGCCAGTGGCAAGTTATTTTTTCATTGACTTAACTTTTTTGCACATTTACATCATAATAGCTCCAAATGACATCCCCAATACTTTCCTAGGCTTTCTTGTCTATTAATCCTAATGAATGCTGCGTAAAAAAAGTGCTAAAGTTCTTCATTCAATCATTTATAGGACTATGCGAGGCTAAAAAGTGAAGGGCCCTGTACAAATATTTTTATATCTGAGGTTTTGCCAACAAGAAACACCTAAAATAAATAGATCAGCAATTTTTCATTTCACCCCCCATAGGAATGACATTAGTTATACTAGGAATCAAACCTACAATCTTGAGCTTTGAAACAGGAGGTCTTAGTTGGCTATAAAATTAATAGCATATGAATAATAAAAGCATAGTAAACTAACTTCATCCAGCAGTGGGCCTCCTTGGGCATTCATGCGAGGTCCTCGATTCTCTGGGGCAACGCGTGGTGCCGGAGGCGGCGCTGCAGCAGCAGGTGCAGCAGGGGCAGCAGGTGCTGCAGCTTGTGGGCTAGCTGGAGCTGGAGCACTGGCTTGGACCACAGGGGGAGGCGCTGCCTGGTGCATGCTATAGCAGAACACAGTATCAGTTATGAAAGGAGTCTGCGACAAATGACTTCGAAAGTTAGTAAGCTAGTGCCGCCCAAAAAAATTCTGGGCCACAACCAAATAGGAAAAAAAAAATTAATTGTCCACATGAACGACTAGCAGTTCACATAAGCCTCTTAAATAAATCAGCAACATTTTCATCATTTAGAATCTGCTTCAGAGATCCCCACAAACAATTGCACAGTTAAACCTCAATACAATGTACTAATATATCACGAAAGTCTCATTAAAATGAAGCACTTTGATAACTTCCTGTCCATATAATACTATGTGCTTTTAAGGTCATTATCATGCATGCTTACCTATGATTTCAACTAGGGGTGTGCAAATATCAAAATTTTCATATGGGAACATTTAAAATGAGAACAAAGCTTCGAATACAAATAGAATATCGAACAATGAAGAGGCGCAAGTTTTTCCAACAGTAATCTTTTACTCAATCATATGTTGAAAATAGTACAATTGTTATTATAATCAGTTATTGCACACAAAAATAAAAAAAAAAGTCACCATCTGTACTTGCCACAAAGCATAAGACTAATAGTTGAGCTTCTGACTGTGATGTCTTGGGTTCCATCCACATGTTGAAAAACCTTTTGTATTTTTTTTATTGCATGATGACTAGTGAGCATGAGGCCACTGGTTTGATTGTGTAACAGTTAACACCCGTGTATTTAAGCCTTAAGTCTAAGAAATTATTAAAGCATCCAGCCTAGGTGGTCACAATTCATCCAGGTGCTGGATGAATTGTGACCAATTCATCCCACCCTATCAATTTTTAGTTCGAAAAACCTCGATTTTATTGTTTTCTTTAATTTTCTCCCCCATTCTCACGGGTCAAGCCACTAAGAGAAATAGGAGTACACGAAGAGTTTTTTAACCTACACAGCAATACTAATTTTCTCGCTTGCTTCGGTTGCCTTTCTCGAGGACTGCACGATTGCCATTTTCCGATCAAGAATGCTGCGTCGCGTTGATGGCACGAGGTGTACCGGGCGCGCAGCGATAACGCGTGGTAAGCGTGCGAGATTATTACTGATGTGTGATAGAAAGATTCTCCAAATACGCCCTTTTGTTAACAGAGCCATAACTCCCGGCGGCGAGGGCACTATTTTGCCGCACCGCAACCCCCTTCGGCGCACTGGCTGCCGACGGCAGTAAACTAACGTTGGCAAAAGAGCGAGATTGCAGCAACGGTGTAACAGAGGTTTGATTGCAGGAGATGTTGCCGCAAGAGCTGATCTAACCATACAGGGGAACAAAGAATATACGAGTTTCAGGAGACCACACAAAACCGTCGTACAATCCGGGCATCATATAATCGGAAAAGTAAGAATATAGGCAGTGACACTCAGCCTTGGGCAAAAAAACGGGTACAAACGACCTGAATAAGCCTTGACACAACTTTGTGCTTCTCCAAGGAAAGTAAATTAAATTGTTCTTGACAATAGCAGAATTATTTAATTGAAACAGGTGAAAATTAATTTTCATTCTATACTTCAAACAATCAATTCCAACATGTATCTTTCTACTGATAAATTATAAATTAAGTCCGCAAATTGCCTGCGTATGAAAACTATACTGAAACCACATTGCCAACAGCCTCCCGTGAAAAAATCCAGACACAGTGTCATCGCCATCACACAGTGGCGACGGACCACGAGTTTTTGAAGTAGCGTAGAATGCTAGCGTGGTCGACTGAGCGATGAGCATTGTTATTTGATGCCTTGTGAAGTGGAACTAGTGATGTCCTGTTGTTACAATGAATGTTGAAATCAAGTGAATGTTATTTTGCTCGGTGAAAACCGCTGCATCGTACCTTTTTGTGCGCTCAAGTTGGTGACTGTGAGTGCCCCAAATCAAGGCAGGAGATTAGCAGTCGACCAGGAAAAGTTTTGGCAGACCAAAAACATGAAAACATCAGGATCTTAGAAATCAGCTTTTTAGCCAGCTGAAGCTACTCTGTGAATGGAGCTTCTCTAGGTATTGACCCTGCAGACGCAGCGATCGAGGCGTATTCAAAAGTGCATGAACTGTCAGGAGAATAAATTTTCCATTTTAAAAACACATCCTGTCCAATTTCACTTTTCTAATCATCAACCTAGAGAAAGGCAAGTTCATATTTTTGTACTCGTGAGTATTTCGCCCACGTTCGATGCGAGTAAAGGTGGTGTTTGTTTGGGATGAAATCGGAAATTCGTCCCAAGATTCGGGGCCAGTGTAAAACTGTGCCTAAATTTTTAATATATTATCTCTACAGGGATATTACTAGGTCCAAGCTGATCCATCGCAAAAAGCGGATCGTCGCAAAACTGGGAGAGGTATAATCAAAGTTCCATTGTAAATAAATAATTGATAGAACTATAAAATAATGGTATCGCACTACCTCTTTTGGCCACAGCAAATTAGATTTACATATAATCTCCTGATTGGGATTGGTGATCACTATTAAATGGTCCTGCAAGCCAGTTACATTGAGAAAAAGCTCAAGCACATCAATTGTTTCTGTTGACCAAATGCACACAGTTTATGTAATATGTCACCATAAATATTATAAAACTACTTTCCTAAAAAAAATCTATATTATGAGCAGGAAATGTTTTTTGTCTGCAGCTCTAGAAAGTGCTTCTTATAGTCATTATACATGTATATCAACAATATATGCATACATTTTAACAAAAAATTTATTTGCAATACACCTATGCTTTGATTTTATGTATTTTTTTTATTGTGTTCTGTTTACTTTTCCTTTTTTATTTCCTCGAGATTGCTAGCATGTATGATGAGCTTGTGGGCACAAATGTGAGCTGGAATACAGCTGTATTGACCTGGTTTGAACACAATCGCAATTGAAAATGACAGGGATGCAGCCCTACACTTGGATTGAAGTATATTATGGTCTAGCCCACTCACCATCAAAGGTGACTATGACACCAGTACAGTCGACTCCCGGTAATTCGAAGTCGCTTAATTGGAAGTTTCGGTTAATTAGAAATGAGCAAGTGGTCCCATCAGTTTTGCATGCAATCGTATAGAAAAAAATGCTCGATAATTCGAAGTTAAAAACCCATAATATTGGTTAATTAGAAGTTTTTTCAATCGACAGTCTCGTCGCGACCATAATTTTACAGTAAAATGGGGAACTTTTCATATGCCAAAACATCTGCCGGACCGCGCTGGTGTCTTCGCCATCACTACTGTCTGCAGCGCCACAGATCTTGAGCGGCAATCTTTTTAACGCTGGCGAATCGCATCGGCGGCATCGACTGACTCTTTAGTTGACTTTTGTCGAGACTCGAGTGTGTCACCGCGTCACCCGCGCGCTGGGTCACGGAACACCTACCAGTGCTGGGTTGATTCCACACGTGTTTCCGCGCTTCTGATTTTGAGTGTTGTGGTGGTGACGTACGTTTGATAATGGCAACTCGTGGCCCTTACCGAACGCTAGACCTAGCGACGAAAGTCGAAGTCTTGAAGGAAGTTGACCAGGGAGGCACAGCCAAACAAGACATTTCAAGAAAGTACGGCATTAAGCCTAACACGCTGTCGACTTTCATAAAGAATAAGCGCTCATTATTGGATGCGTTTGAAAGTGAAAAATTCAAGACATCGCGGAAGCGGATGCGCACCGGCGCCTACCCAGAGTTGGAGGAAGCACTGCTGATTTGGATCAGAGAGGCACGAAACAACAAACTTCCTCTCAGTGGTGAAGTCGTCACGGCAAAAGCGTCATCGCTTGCTGAAATGTTGGGCATCAACGACTTCGCTGCTTCGGATGGGTGGCTTACGCGTTTCAAACATCGCCACGACTTGATTTTTAAAAGCGTGTGTGGGGAGAAGGCGTCAGTCGATGAGGAAACGAACGTGCCTGACATGGAAAGCGGGCAAGCTTCGCGAGTACCTCGAAGAATACCAGCCGGCAGACATTTTTAATGCGGACGAGACTGCGCTTTTTTATCGGCTGCTACCGGACAAGACCCTGACATTTAAAGACGACGACTGTTCTGGAGGCAAAAGAAGCAAAGAGAGAGTGTCAGTGCTAGTCGCGGCAAACATGACTGGCACAGAACGGTGTCGCCTGCTTGTGATCGGGAAGGCTGCCAAGCCTAGGTGCTTTAAAGGCGTGAAGACGCTTCCTGTGGATTATGCCTCGAACAGAAAGGCGTGGATGACATCCGATATATTTAAGGACTGGATCACCAAACTCGACCGCAAGTTCGCGCAATCAAGCCGTAAGGTGTTGTTCCTTGTGGACCAATGTAGTGCCCACATGAACGTACCTACCTTGAGTGCCATTCGTCTTGTGTACCTGCCTGCAAACACGACGTCCGTGTTGCAGCCCATGGACCAGGGCATAATAAAAAATGTGAAGGTATTGTATAGGCAGCATCTCGTCGAGCGCATGCTTTTGTGCATGGACAACTCGTCGCAATACGAGGTGAGTTTGCTTAGTGCCATCAACATGCTAGCGCGAGCTTGGACCCGCGTGAAAGAAGAAACCATCGCCAATTGTTTCCGGGCCTGTGGTTTCATGGAAAACTCGGGGGATGCTTCTCCTTGTGCGCCAGTGGAAGTGCAAACAAATGAGCTCGACGATGGTAGCTTTCGCGTCGCTCTCGGTGACGTCCGTTTTGACGAGTATGTCGCTGTGGACAGCAACGTCGAAACATGCGGTACGGACAGCGAAATCGTGCAGATGGTTCGGCCCCATGACTGCATTCCTGAAAATGACGATGATGACGACGACATCGGAAATGAGCCACCACCGAGGGCTGCCGATGTAGCTGCGGGTCTTGCTCTTGCGCAGCGGTTTTTTGTAGGAGAACACAACGCCGAAGAAGCACTTCGACACGTGTATTCCTTACAAAGCTTGCTAGCCGCAGCCAGATTAGGCAAGCAGAAGAAGATGACAGACTATTTTTCCTCAAAACTGTCGCGCTTTTAAAGTAATAAAAGTGCCGTTTTTAGTGCTTTTTGCTTAATTCTAAGTTCGTTTAATTCGAAGTTTTTTGCGGTTCCCGTGAACTTCGTATTAACGGGAGTCGACTGTATAAGGCAACTACCTACCTAAGCTGGCAAAAGTCTCAGTAGGTGCAAAACAGGATGACAAAAGATCGTACACATTCAAAAGATTTTCCATTGATCCAAGAAACCAGAGTTCAAGATGACAACATGCAGAGCATGCCATAAGTTAGAAGCGCTAGAGATGGGATAGATGGGACACTTACAGCTGCATGTATTGAGTGAAGTAGTGAGCATACAACTGCTGAGCAAAAGCCAACTGCTGCATCAGCTGCTCGGGGCTTAGTGCTCCTGCTGGCATTCCCACAGCAAAAGGCATTTGACCATTAGGCAATGGCACTCCACCAGAGCTGTGAAAAAAGATAGCCAAAAATGATGACACATTGTGCAAATACGTGCTTAAAAATTTTTGGATAGAAAGAGAGCTCTCAACAACACTACCATTCACCAATTTTATTATGCAGAACATCAAATACACGCTTGGTTCACTCTCTCCAGACGCAAGACTATCGTCTTCCGACGACATTTGCAGTGCAACATGCAGATTCAGGCCAATTTTTTTTTTACTTCAAGCCACGATTACTGAGGTGCAGTAGCACCCAACGCATTAGACTATGTTCAGTAATTTGAAGGAGTGCCTACTACACAGGCTACAAATATGTGTGACTCGTTTTCAAAGCAAGCCTCCCACAAAAGTATTTGTGTGTGGGCTTTTGTTTGAAAATTTCATTGCTTTCATGCTATGCAGCCATTTCACGTATTTCAGGTAGAACTGCCCACCAAACGATCTACACACTGCTGGTTTTTCATTTTTAATGCCTTAGAACCATTTGAGCCACTACGAACTTTTAATGTGTGACACTTCTGTATAGTAAAAAATATTTTAATGGCTTAATATCCCGTACGTTCTTTTACATTGCCAAATGGCTGCTATGAATGTATTGCCATTATAGGGTCCTCTATTTTTTCGCCACCTATACCTTCTAAGCTACATATGTGAAGATTGATAAGCAAATGTGGTAGGAATTAAAAATGAGTCTAAAAAGGAGTGGTTCATTCAGAAAACATGGAGATCTCATACACAAGCAGCTGCTAAGAAAATTAGTCGCCATAGTAAAACTAGGCTATCTTGTACGCCAAAAGTAGTGTCATATCTAGAAGCCAAAGTTCAAAGGATTACTTAGTTATATTGAGTTTATTGGCGCAAGAGCATCTCAGGCTAAGCTGTGCCAAACACAAGGTACCTAATGATAGCCAGTATATACGTTTTATTCTAAAGCTTACGAAGGAATCTACTTTCTTTTAGGAAATTGATAACGTTAGACAGTGGAACAAGTGAATCATCTCCTAAAATTTGATTCAGGTGCATAGGTGTGTGGTGTTTGTGTAGTGCTCTGAAATGCTTTCGTCTTTATGCTTCAATGTATGGACACGCGATTAAAATATGCAAAACCGTTAATGGCGGTTGACATTTTTCACATTCCGGCAAATCCTCTTTTCTAAGCAAAAAGTTGTGTGTGAGGTGAGTGTGCCCAATGCGGAGTCGGCATAGGATGACCTCAACGAACTGTTCTTGGTGAGCACATGACTTCCATTCGCCCACTGTGGGCTTCAACAAATGCAGTTTATTACTCATGCAGAAGTCCCATTGTTGCTGCCATTTTGATGATAATGCTACAGGAATAGTACGTAGGCTATATTTAAGGGGAATCTGTTTAAATGACGTCTGTGCTGCTAAAGACGCACATTCGTCTGCCTTTTCGTTGCCTGGTATCCCTATGTGGCTTGGAAACGAACAGAAACGAACAGTAATATTCTCATTATTTGAAACAATCATATGCGGTATATCACCTAGTAAAGGTTCACATTCAGATTTTAAATGTAGCACTTTCATTGAATTTAGTGAGTCAGTCTATATGATTGCTTGTCTGTATTCCTCACCGATTTTTTTTTTTTTTTACTGCTTCCCATAAGGCGTACATTTCAGCGCTGAAAATGGACATGCACTCGTAGTCTAACACTGACAGCGCTTTCTTCTGTCCCAATCCCAATGCCAACATGGTGTTTTGTTTTAGAGCCATCTGTGTAAATTTCGGTATAACCTTTGTTGTTTGTCCTGGATTGCGTGGAATTTTTGAATTAAGTGTTGTGGCGCGGTGTCATTTTTCTTGAATGGTCAGTGAAAAATCGTAGAGTTGCGCCAGGTCAGCCCATGGCGGCAGTCTCTGTGGTTTGATGGCGATTTTCAGTGCGTCATTACAAATATTGTAGTTACGGCAATGCTCTTCGAAGCGTAAAATCAATAGTTTAATGAGGTGTCGCATGTTTGAGTAGTGTAAGCGTGAGTGGCATTGCGTGGTGATGTCGTGGCATATACGTTGAGACTGTGACCTATTCCTCAAAACATGAGAGAGGGTTAAAAATATGCGGCGCTGGCGTAGCGGAGGTTCATTGCAATCTATGTACAAACTCTGGACTAGGGATGTTCTATGCAGACCGAGATGGTGTATGGGGTCTAGACGGCGAATGTAGGATTCTCTGGCCGAGCCGTAAACAATGCATCCATAGTCTAAAATGCTACGCACAACGGAACAATAAACCTTTAATAGACATAATCGATCAGAACTCCAATGCTTATGGGATAAAACCTTTAAAATATTAAGCGCTTCATTGGCCTCGATTTTGAGTGCATTAATATGAGCAAGAAAGTTCAGTTTACTGTCAAATGTAACTCCTAGAAATTTTTGTTTATGCTTTATCATCATTGCCATGTTGTTTAATGTAAGCTCTGGGTCTGAAAATAATCCCCTTTTCAATGTAAATAGCACAGCAACAGTCTTTTGTGTAGAAAATCAGAAGCCATTTCCGTCAGCCCAACGTGTTAGTTTGTTTATGGTAACTTGAAGTTGCCTCTCACACGTTGATAGGTTAGAACCATGAGAAGCGATTTGAAGATCGTCAACATATAGAGTGGGCATGATTGTGGGTGGTATGACCATAATATTTGAATTCATTTTTACTACGAAAAGAGTAGTGCTAAGGACGAAGCCTTGAGGCACGCTGTTTCCCTGGATAAATGTATGTGAAATCACAGTGCCTAACCGCACCTGAAATGTTCTGTTAGTCATGAAATCGGAAAATCATTTTGCCTCAAATGCTTAGATTAGCGAAGTCTTGCAAAATTCAGTGTCGTCACGTGGTATCGTAGGCCTTTTCTAGGTCGAAAAAAGCCGCAAGACAGAGACGAAAAGCCTCTCGTATTTCATGCTCCTGACGAACAAGATGGTCACTGGTTGAGCAACCTTTTTTTATATCCACACTAATGATTGTATACCACATTTCTGGAGTAGAGAATAAATGATAGTCTGCAATTTAAGACACTTTCTCAATTTTTTGCCAGGCAGCTGGTAAGAGCGATCGGTCTGTAGCAGCTAGGAAATTTTGGGGGTTTTCCAGCTTTCAGAAATGGGACTACTATGGCAGTTTCCCAATGTTCTGGCATAGATCCAGATTGCCATACCATGTTGAAAAATGTAAGTAAAACTTTTGTAGATGATTCGGACAGGTGTGCCAGCATAGAGTAGTGTATATTGTCGGGGCCTACTGCCGTTTTTTTTTTACCATGTGAGAGTACCATGTTTAGTTCCTGTAGTGTTGGGGTTGGCTATAAGCTTCATGTGAAGCACCTGTTAGCAGTAGTTTCTGCTTCTCTGCAGTTTCTTTGTGTTTGAGGAAAGTATCAGTGTAGTTGGCTGAACTAGAAATGTTCCCCTAATATCTCGGCTTGTTCTTGTGTTGTTGTCTGGATGTCTTGGCTTGTGAGAATGAGTATTGTGTAGGCTGAGTAGTTCCTCTGAATTTCCTCAACTGGTCCCACAAACGCTCAGACGAGACAGTCCTATTTATGGAAAATACGTAATTAGGCCATGATGTTTTTTCAGCCTGTCTACGGATATATCGCGCCTTCGCTTTAGCCTGTTTGAAGTTCACGAGGTTACTATATGTGGGGTACCTCCTCAGGACACCCCAAGCTTTGTTTTGCAGTTTCTTTGCTTCGGTGCATTCCTTTGTCCACCATTGATTGATATGTGGGGTTTAACGTCCCAAAACCACTTCATGATTATGAGAGACGCCGTAGTGGAGGGCTCCGGAAATTTCGACCACCTGGGGTTCTTTAACGTGCACCCAAATCTGAGCACACGGGCTCCTTTGTCCACCAGGCATTTAGTTTTTTCCGAACAACGTTTGATGATCATGGTATCGTTTCTTCTGCGGCTGTAATTATGATATCTGTGATTTTGTCGTTTATGTCATCGATGGTCATATCTGGCGAGATTGCGTCCTTGAGTTTTGCATTTTCTGAAGTTAGTGGCCAGTCCGCAAGATGGATTAGCCAGCGGCATGGTTTAGAGGTGATGGGGGTAGTGAGGACGGCATCTTGATGATTGCAGGTAGTTTATCACTGCCGTACGAACAGTCGAGGACTTCCCACTTGAAATAATTGAAAACGGATGGTGAATAGAATGCTAGATCGAGGCAACTAAACTTGCCTGAGCTTGGTGAAAAGTATGTTGGTAAGCCAGAGTTTAAAAGACAATATCATTCGATAAAATTAAAATCTTCAATCAGTTGCCCTCTGGTCCGTTTTGTCACTGCCCCATAGCGTACCATGGGCGTTAAAATCTCCTACGAGAACAAACTGTTCTGGAAGTTGGGCGGTCAAGTCCTCGAGTTCTTGTAGTGTTAATTGTTTGTTGGAGGAAATGTAGATAGAGCAGATGGATATGGTTTTGTGTGCAATAATGCTGATTGCCACAGCCTTGAGAGGGGTGTTTCATGTTTTTGCTCGGGTGGGAATGACACTTAATTAAACAATTGCGACTCCTCCCGATAAACGGCTACAATGTTGCCGGTCCTTACGAATAACTGTATACCCTTTTAGTATACGAGTGTGCATTGCACCTAGGTTTGTTTCCTGGAAGCAAAATGCTTTCAGGGAAAATTTGTAAAAGATGTCTTCAATGTCACCTAAGTTTTGAAGTAGGCCTCTAACGTTCCAATGAATAATGAAAGCCATGATGGAATTAAAAGGAAGCAAATCTACTAACAATATAGATTCATTGTTTAAATTATGGTAGGTAACATATGGTAAAAACTGGGTTCATGAAAAGCGATAACCACTTAGGTTATCACTTGGGCTGCACCGTTATTGGAGTCTTGTCACGCTTGGCGTGCTCGAGGGAGCGCTGGTCTTTTGGTGTCGACGACACCGAGATATTAGGGTCGACCTCCATCGCCTTGTCAGAGGCGCTGGACCATCGAGAGTCAGGACCTGAGACGCGCGTCTCGGGCTTTGGTGTGCCACTGAGTCGCGGGCCCTGCACAACCGAAGCAGGTAGAGCCGCCTTGGATGTTGATGGTGGAGAAGCACTGGCTGCTACCACCAAGGGGGCAGGTGGAGCAACCACGGGACCACTGGCCGCGATCCCCGTAGGCTCCTGAGGCCGTTGCGGTGTTCTCCCTGCCACACCACCCTGGCATAGCTTTTCTGAGGCAAGAGTCCAAGCCTCTTCCTCACTTCAAAGAGGGTTATTTTTTCTTTGACTTTTAAAGCAACTATTTCTTCTTCTTTTTTCCAGCATGGACACGATCTGGAATACACCGGGTGATCGTCTTTGCTATTCATGCAGTGGGGAGATTCCCGACATTTCTCTGACTTGTGGTCGTTGGCGATGCAGTTGGCACAGGTTTCTTTACCTCTGAAAGATTGTGAAGCATGGCCGAACCTCTGGCACTTGAAGCAGCGCCTGGAGTTCAATATGTATGGTCCGACATTTATTTTCAGGTATCCTGCTTCGAGGGAGCTAGGAAGTGTGCTCGTGCCAAAAGTTAGGACTATGTGTTTTGTCAAAAGTTATTCGTTTTTTCATCTGATTGTTCTTCGTTGGACCTTTACTACATTTTGCTCTTGGAAACCCTCGAGGAGCTCCTCATCGCTCAGGTTCAGGAAATGTACTTCAGAGATAACACCCCTACATGTGTTTAAAGATCGGTGAGCTGTGATTGTGATATCCATGTTTCTGATACTGTCTATGTCATAGAGTTTTGTTACTTGTTCTTTCCTTTTTATTTGTGTTCATTTTTGATTCCTTGTATTCCTTTCCTATTGCTTCGGCTAGTGATTTTGCCACCAAGAAGGAGCACAGTTTACGCAGAGTTGTACTTCCTTCGCCAAACAAAAATGTGAAAATGGGAGAAGTTGTTTAGGTCGGTTTGGAGATTGGAATGAAATGAAACTTAGGTGCGACCTCTTTTTTGGAAGTAAACCAGGGAGTTGAGGGAACACTTTCGCCATTAGATATATGGAAAGTTCGGCAACAGCGCCGACTGCCCACCACGGTTCTCTACAAGAATATGCGGCAGAGCTTCATAAAAGAGTCTGCACAACGCCAGTCATACGCCGCTGCTATAATCTAATAGGGTATACCAAGGTTGGATGACCACACACGGTTAACCCTTGCCGCTAGGAAAATTAGAAGTGACTAGAAGAGAGGACAAGACAGGAAAGATGTAAAGTGAGTGGGAAAGATGAAGGTGTAGGTTGAGAAAGAGATAGGAAAAAGCGACTGCCGATTTCCTCTGGGTGGGTCAGCCCAGGGGCGCCGTCTGTGTGAAGCCAGGGCCAAAGGGGTGTGTTGCCTCTGCGGGTCCGTGGTGTCACTACACACCAAACACCTGCTTATGCAGATGCCCCTGTGGGGAAAGTTCAAAGGGGCCCTGCAACACCTTTCAAGCGTTTATTGAATGGCTTCTTCTTCAAGCTTATTGCCTCATGAATCCACTGTCGCATACATTTTTTGCTTTGGTTAAGCATGAGCAGATTAACAGAGATTTGCCGCACACTTCAAGTGCTTTCTCTCTTCTTTCACACCAGCAAGTGCACTGAAAGCTTTGTAGAGAAGGGGATAATAAGGGGGCCAAAAAGACTTTCCTTAATCAGCGCACGTCATGACATTTAGCACTTTCTTTCTTTTCTATGAATGCGTACCCGGGCAGGCGGCAGCATCTTGCGATGGCCACAGTAACTTCAAGATTGCGATGCTGAAACTAGCCAATGGCAGTGAACTTGGGTATATGGCATTATTTGTAGAAAGAAGCCATTTCTGGCAGGTTTAAGAATTATCTGCAAATTTCAGGCCGCGTGCTACGCTGTTATGCTTGGCTTGTATGTTCTCAGGAGCCTGGACTACTGGTCAGCAGCTTTTTCTGAATATACCGAAAAAGTGTTGCAGGGCCCCTTTAATGATCATGGCATCAGAAAAAAATTGAAGGATTCACCTTGCACATGCATTTAATGTTGCCCTTTTGTTTGCCGTGAATAAAATGATTCCGATTCTGAATAGTGACATCACATGGCATTGCTGCAAGATTAAGTTTGACTGTGACAACCTCCTTTTTTTTTTTTTTTTTCAGGAAGCATTTCTAGACAATGAGATATTTTTTTTATTAACATTTTTCATGGCATTTCAACCCCAAACCTAGTTGCAATGGTACAAAAACTTGCACACCATGTGAGGACTGTAGTCAATAGATATGTGCTTATGTCTGGATTGATAAAGCTTCATCTTTGAAGGGAACAGCACAACAGATTGGACAGACTGGAGGTAAATAGTAGAACCAAAACGCAGTCAAGTAGAAACGTTTCTATTCTTGGGCAGCAAACAACAGGGAGAAAAGGCACATCTGGCAAAGGCTACCCTGGAACAAAGCAACCAGCAAACTTACCTGGTGCTTCTGTGCCGAAGTTCATCATTGTTGATAGCTGATGAAGCTGAGGTCACAGATGAAGTTGAAGGCACATTTGATGTTGAATCATCAGCCATTTCAAAATCAGGCTCGCTTGTAGCCATCTGGAGAATGAGAAACAAAAAAAAAAACTGTACAAAGAGTGGGTTAAAGTGCCCTCACCAGCTCTAACATTGCAAAGAAAGTGCAGCATGTTGATAATACTGTAAAAATCATGTTGGCAACACAAGTTAGTAGTAAATATATCAGCAGCAAAAATATATAGTTAAACCTGGATATATCAAAATCGATAAATCTCAGGAAAAATTTGTTATAGAGAGAATTTCATTATATACAGGTTCGTTTGGAAAATGATTTGATTGATTGATAGGTGGGGTTTCACCTCCCAAAACCACCATATGATTATGAGAGACGCCGTAGTGGAGAGCTCCGGAAATTTCGACCACCTGGAGTTCTTTAACATGCACCCAAATCTGAGCATACAGGCCTACAACATTTCCGCCTCCATCAGAAATGCAGCCGCCGCAGCCGTGATTCGAACCCGAGACCTGCGGGTCAGCAGCCAAGTATCTTAGCCACTAGACCACCGCGGCGGGGCTTCGTTCGGAAAATGAACACGGAAATTAAACAAAAGGGAGACTGAAGGCAGAGCTAAACCAAAACACTTATTTTAAAGTAAAAAAAAAACTGCGTTATTATTGGGATAGCAATTATATGGATACTCTTGGCAGGTTTTTGCCGACGTCGCCATGTTCCATAACAAGCCAAAATTGATAACATGCCCCCGCGCGTCACTTTCACGAGCGGTTAAAAGCGCACGAGCGCTGCTGTGGCAGAGATCAAATGAGTCAGCCCATCCCTATCACCTGGAATGTGCATAAGATAACATCTCCTGCGTGTTAGAACTGCCGTCGATGGCTCAATCAGAAAGTAAACCACCAGTTTAGAACGAGCATGAAACAACGCGGGGGGAGGGGGAATTGCTCGAGTAGCAATAATGAACTTGGATTTTCAGAGCGGCAGCGATCGCTGGCACGCTTGTTATCTTGACGAGTATCAATGCAGTTTTAACGCGAAGGGACTTTGCGAAAAGGGCACTTCTCCCTGGAGCAGCCATATTTTCCCACATCCGCGTTTGTAGGAGTTCCCCGATATCAGATCCAAAAGAGTTGGCTGCCATTATAATTTTTTGCTATCACGTTCATGGCATTGCATTCAACACGCCATCATGTTGCCAGAACTCATCGGCTTAGCGCGAAAGCTACCAGCCTGAGAACTCGCGGCGCAGCGCAAGACGGGAGCGCGTGACGAGTCAACCTCTGAAGATCCGTCGTCACCGTGGTCTCTGAGAGTTTTCATCAGCGCCTAATCTGACATCCCGTCAGTGGTGACGACATGGTTGTCCGAAATGAAGAAAAGATCGCACTTTTGCTGCAAGGTCGAGGCAATGAGGGAGATAAGCGCGCCGAGCGCGGGCAGCTCTTTTTTTAAATTTTCATATTTATAGATACGTATACATATACGGCGAACGGCGGTGGCGGCGACACCAAAAAAACCAGCTGAGGCTGCCCACATAACTGCCATTGCAAAAAAAAAAAAAAAAAAAAGCAAAGTTGAAGCTGAAACTTTGCACGCGCGCACGGCGCCGAAAACGAAGAGTGAACGATACAGACACGAATAGCACGGAAAACTATTCAGTAAGGCGCCCTCCATATGCAGTGCCGCCACACATATGCGACGCTAACTAAAAGCGTGGCACTGCCAACGTGCAAAAGCAGTTTTTTTTTTTTGTTTGGAAAGGGGGGGGGGGGGAACTTGCGCATTCCTGCGGCGGCGAGAACGGCAGCAACGCAGGCTTGTGGGGTGCAGGCGCCCTTGCCCGCGCGAGCCGCCGCGGAAGATGCATGCTCGCGCAAAAATGCCAAAATGCAGAGCAAAATTCCTAGATTTTCTGTGGGAAAAACTCGTTAAATCAACATTGTCTAGCATTGTTACTTTGTTACATAAAGGTAAAAAATGCATGAGCTTTTATGGAGCAACGGCAGGGAATTTAAAAACTTCGTTATACTGAGGAATACGTTATATGGAGGTTCGTTATAAGCAGGTTCAACACTATATACAAAACTGGGAACGTAAAGGCAGGTGAAGTGCAATCGAATAAAAAGTTGGGCGAGTTGGTGTATATTCATATTAAAAGAAAAAAAAAGTGCTTTCCGGTGTTGACATCTTCCATCTTGTGCACTGTGGTAGTGAAGGGCGAGGGGAGCAACAACAAACAATTTGCCCAACAAGCCTAAAAAAAGCAGCTACTACTGAAAATTTCAAGCAAGCCCTCATCCCCCCCTCCCCCCCTCCCGCCTGCCCTCAGTAAGCCTAAATTCTTTGCAAAGGAGAGGGGAGGTGCCTTTGCTGGAATGGCACCAAGAGTCAAGGTGGCAGCAGGAAAGTTTTCCCACCAGGAAAAAGAAAAGTGGGCATGAACCACCTCAGAAGTCTTCTGGCTCTTGTTCATAGCAAAGTGCAGTACAGCTCACAAGAAACACAATGCCAATGTGATTATGCCATGGGAAGCATGGCATGGAAGCACCTCCGATAACGAGCACACGCCTATGCAGCAAACGCATATCTCCGAGGTCTTATGTTTGGTATTTACACCACACGTTTGTCAAACTAAAAATACAGCTTGAAGGTCGTTTTTCTTTACAGGAATCTGAAAATCTTAGACATCAACAAAAATTATGGCCCTTTAGTGTGAATCTGTTCTTGCTAAATGGTCATAATTTTTATAGTCTCCTTGCATAAGTACCAACTAGCCCGGAAATGTATTCTTTTAGATAACCTGAAAACCATCGTGGGCGTCATGCATGAAATTCGGTGTGCGATCATTGTGTAGGAAAATAAAAAAAACTCCAGCTTTGATGACATTTCTGCTAAAACAGGCACTCATAGATCACGCTGCTAAGCAGGATTAGATCAGATCGGATTCAATCAGGCAGTGTTTCATGGATACGTACATATTCACGGTGCCAAATGTGCGGTGGTGTGGGGTGCTTTTCCGGAATGGCATGGAAATTTCAAATTAGTGAAATTGGAGGAGCCCCTTGTTCAGAACTTTACAGTAGCACTAGAGATATTACAGTGACACACGCCATGAAAATAGCTGGAAACTAAAAGAGAAGGTGGCCGGTGCCTGTCTTAAGCTTGTTTTCCCCAAAACACACATGCCATCCACTTGTGCTCAATGTCACACACTACGCTTACAGTGCCCCAATTATCAACCACAACTCAAAACACTTGGGAATTCCCATGTCTGTTAGTTACGTTGGGTTTTATGGCGCAAAAGCAACAATGGCTATGATGCACCAGATACTGGGTGATTATGATAATAGGGTTAAAATGTGAGGTGAAAAACAGATTTCTGTTTACAGTTTGTTTAGAAGACCTGTGGCATCTAGAAACCTAAAAACATCCTGTATGGGGATGGGTGCATTTTCTGATAGTATTAACATTGGGTGTAGAGGTGTTTGTGTTCTGTAAAATTGTTTAAAATAAACGTGTCTACTTTTTTCAAAGGCTGGGCATGTTATTAAAATATGATTGATAGTCAGAGGTTCCTTGCAATGTTCGCATTCTGGCTGATCTTCTCTGTGCAATAAAAAGTTGTGGGTGAGGTGAGTATGACTTATACGCAGGCGGCATAGTGTTACTTCGATGAAGCGCTTTTGGTGATTGCAAGACTTCCATTCTTGTAGAATAGGCTTGATAATTTGAAGCTTGTTATGCACTTGAGCCTGCCACTCTTCTTGCCATTTTGCCCTAAATGCTGTCCGACAACTGTTGAAACAGTCTCTGAATGGTGCCCTTATTTCTGCTATGCTTTGATGACCTGCCCTTGTTGCTACCCTGTCTGCCTTTTCGTTTCCTGGGATACCAACATGGCTCGGCACCCATACAAGCCGGATTGTCTTGCCATTTTTCTCAGCTCTTTTTAGATTCTGTAAAATGTCCCCGAGAAACGGTTCGTTTTCCGACCTTAAATGTAGGGCTTTTAATGTGCTAAGTGAGTCAGTGTATATGACAGCTTTTTTGTGATTTCTTGATAAAATTTTTTCGAGAGCAATCAAAAAGAGCATACACTTCTGCTGTGAAGATAGATACGAATGGTGGCAGTCTTATACATGTTTCTGAGTGTTTTGATATGACAGCACTTCCTGTATATTCTTGTGTTTTTGATCCATCAGTGTAGTATTCAGAGTGTGTGTTATATTTTTCTTGTACGGCTAGGAAATCCTGGATAATTTGTTCCCGTGGAGTTTCCTTCTTCTTTAGATGAGTTACTAAGGCAAAGTCGTTGTAGTGCGAAAAGTCCAACCATGGAGCCAGTCTTTCCGGCATTCAGACAACGCTTAGTGCCTGATTCGGTACTTTGTAGTCTAGACATATTTCTTCAAAGCGCAGGAAAAGTGGTCTTATCGTGTGCGGTCTGTTGTATTGTATTCTCGTACCGATGTGAGAGACAATAGTGTGACATATGTGGCTTGGTTTCGATCTGGTTATTAAAACATAGGATACAGTATGTAGTGCTCTTCTTTGTTCTAGGCACGGCTCGTTGCTCTCAGCATATAAGCTCTGGACAGGTGAGGTTCTATACGCTCCAGTCGCCAAGCGCAATCCATGATGATGTATTGGGTCAAGACGTTTGAGGTAAGATTTTCTGGCTGAACCGTAAATAACGCTGCCGTAGTCAAGTATGCTGCGCACGATCGAGCGGTATATGCGTAAAAGGCAGACTCGATCGGCACCCCAGTGTTTCCACGATAGTATTTTCAGAATGTTGAGCGCTTTGTTTGCTTTCTTTTTTGTGTAATTCATGTGGGAAATGAAGTTTAGTTTCCTGTCAAAGACTAGGCCTAGGAACTGGTGTTCTGACTTGAGTGGCAGTACACTGTTGTTGATTTTAAGAACAGGGTCCGGATACAAGCCACACTTTTGTGAGAAAAGTAGGGTAACGGTTTTCCGGGTAGAAAAGCGAAAGCCATTTTGATCTGCCCATTTGGTCAGTTTGTTGATGGTTACCTGCAGCTGCCTTTCACATGTGGATATG